TCTAAACACAATATTCTGGATATATGTGGTTAAACTCTCTGTGTTCAAATAACGTATTTATTGCCTGTCTTTATTTTTAAGGGCACTTTTAGTATACTAATTATACTAAGAATAAAGCCAGGTACAAGGAAACTGAATTGCAAAATATCTTATTATATAATAGCACCGAAAGCATTAAAGTGTATTCATGCTGCCTTTAGTACAATCATTGCATTTTGAACATCTGGACTTGCATCATGAAGTATATACAGGAGAGATGCTAAAGTTACCATCCACGTAAATAATAACCTATCGATGTAATAACTATTGGTTACTAAACCTTGCATTCACCATGGCCAGAGTGTCATACAGTGGGGTATAATGCTCCTCTTACAGAAGAAGACTTCCCTGTATTCCCTATATAGAATATTAATAAGCAATCCTTATGCATGTCTGAACTACTGCATTATTTTTAAAGTATAATAAGTATATTATACTATTAAAGTATAGAGCATGGTAGATATGAGTTGTAGAGCGAAACAGAGTTAGGTGCCTCGATAACCCTTGGCGGGCGTGGGAGAGAGATCAGCCCCCAGCAAGTACTACGGATCAGAGAATACAGTGGCAGAGGGATTGGTGACGTGCCACTTTAAGTAGGCCACAAGTAGGCTGCAGGTTTGCCATGGGTAAGAATCACCAAACTTAAATATGGTAACCATAACATGATCCCTGTGCTCAGTTTGTTTTGGGTGATCCTGTGGAACCAATGTTCTGTTCTAAATTTACCAATTCTGTAACAGGAAACATTTAATTTTCCAAGCTACATTTTGTTCCATAACCTACACAAATTCTATTTTCAGTTTTATATACCTTTCAAAAACAAAGCAGAAATCTCTAACCATTCTGTGCCTAAATGATCGGTAAAATCTGGTATGAATAGTTTTAAGTCAGCTTTTATTGACATTTAGAGCATATGGGACCAGATGATTCATAACACCAAAGATAAAATTTGTTAAAACTACAAAAGAAGAAAAATTGACCAATGTGAAATAAACAATGCACATCCTTAGGAACATTATCCAGAAAGCAGAATGCATGAGAAGCAAAGGCATGATTCAGGATTAAGAACACGGAACTTTTCCCAAAAGGAAATTAAGCCCTCAAGGCAGGATGAAAGGTTCCAGCAAATCGTACACAAAATGTGCAAAACCACCTCGGTGTAAGAAGTAAAAAGAGCTCAGGGTAAAGAAGGAAATCAGGAGACTTATATAACACTAGAGAGAAAAGAGAGAGGGGGAGGAAATAAAGTGGGGGGGAAGGAAGTGGAAGGAAGGGGAGTGAGGTGAAGGGCGAGTAAGGAAGGATAGATGAGAAAAGAAGGGTATGGGCAAATATGGGAAGCCCTGGTAGAGAGCCAGGGGGACAGGCAAGGCTCCCCCTCCAATGGCAATTTAGTGTGAATTGTACTTCCAAATGGAAGGAAAACAAATTCATATATTGACTTGTGGGTTGGAATTATTGCCACTGTGATGCCTGGTATTATGCGTGCCACATAAAGTGTTACATTACCTGTCCCTGTGTCTTGGGATGAAGGCAGAGTTAGCTAAGTAAATGTAAGCTGGCATATGTGTTAGTTACAGCACATGCTTTGTTGTGTTTTTATTGCATGCCCCTCTTATTGCCATAATCAAAAGCACACATGGTGGCTCCACATTTTGCTCATGTGCAGCAATGTGTCAACCAATTCCCTTGTTGACAAGAAAAAAAATTCCAATATATTTTCAAATGGAGGAAATTCAGTGGATATAACAGTGTAGATAAAAGCCTAAAAATATCATATCGGCAATATGCTGAATAGAAAGTTTGGGTGTCAGGAGTGGAAGGGGAAAAAAGAGGGGAAACGGGATTCCTTAAACAAAACACAAACTGAGTTGTCTTTATTTATTATTTTAGGATCATCAGTTTTAATAAATTGGTATTAGCTCAGTTTGTGTTTCAGGAGGCAGTTGTTTACTGAAAATGTAACCTGCTACACAACTGGACTTTTTTCTCTGACTCCATGCTCACCATTGGCCTTCGTGTCAGGTTAGTAGTATGAAACCCAAAGTGTAGTGCTTGCAACTGTAGACAAAAATAACAAATAAAATCCAAGGCAAACAGATCTGGTAGGGGCAAGGCAAAGTCAAGGTCAGGCAATCCAAAGGTCAAATATCCATCCAGCAAAGATCCAAAGGTTCAGAAGCAAAGGGACAAACAACAGGTCAGATAATTCTAGAGAGCAGAATCACACAGGTAGTTTGCAGGGAAGTAGCACACATCAAATGAACAATGAATTGTGTCAAACTAAAGGGTGCCCAACTAAAAACAATTTTTTTCTGACATGCCTCCATAACACCATACTTGTGTATGGGCTGTCAGTTAACTGGGGATGCCATGAGAGGTAATATGTCCATAATATGTTCAAGCCACATACAGGACTGTCCTGCAGCATGGAATGATCATGCACATCTCTCACGCGTCTATGGTATCCTGGGAGAAGTGATGTGATCAGGTTTAGATTCATATTCCCTTGCAGTGGGGCAGCCATATCATTTTACTTCTAAATTCAGTTTTTTATGTAATAATTGACTATACATTTCAACATGCATACATGTGTGATATAATCGACTACTGTTTGCTCAAAGTATATATTTACTTCAAATACCTAAAGCGCTTTAGTGTGAAGAGTGTGTCCTATTTTTTTCATAATTTAAAAAGTTCTGATTTCAGTAGAAACTGACACTTGTACAACCTTGTTACACCCACCTGGCTGTTAATAAGAAAACCAATTTTGTTACTAAGTGCAAGAGGCAGCAGTTGCTCAGAACACCCACCTTGCAAAGACTTCTCACTGAGCTGCATTTGGAAGTCTGTGATTGGACAGCCACAGAAAGTCTGGGCGGAGTTAGAAGAGGAGGGCTTGCAAAATCTGCAGGCAAGAGATCTGCAACTTTTGCAAGCTGTTTTTAGATATAACCCAGATGAAAAATGTTAAATTAAATACATGCAAGTTTTCATTGAAGGTGTGTCTACTAAATAGTGATTCTTTATTCATTTATTTTTCTGTTTGGTCAGTGGAGTGTCTTTTTAAATCACATAGCACTGAAATGAAAAGATAGATAAACAGACAGACAGTCCGACTGTAAATGTGTATTTTTACAATTGACATCAGCATGTAGAAGATAAAGTATTACTGTCATTTCATTTGATCATCCCAGCAAAGTGGATAGCATTAAATCAGACATGTTTAACAACGTTTAACCCCTTAAGGACACATGACGTGTGACATGTCATGATTCCCTTTTATTCCAGAAGCTTGGTCCTTAAGGGGTTAAATAGATAAATTGTTTAGTTTCTTTATTCTATATATTATAGTAATGTAGTAATTTGTGTTACCTATTCATGTTACCTGAATCTTTAGCAAACTAATCTATGATTAGTTAAAATATATAATTCTTGTGTCAGAGCTCCATTGTAGAAGGCAATCAATTCTTTTTTTTTTTGCATTTATATAGATCTAAACCTCATTGTGTAAGAAAAAAAAATACTGAGTTTCATCCACATTCAGTCATGTGGAGCCAGTGGGGCAGGGAAATGGCAGTACTGCCTGCAGGGCCCAATCTAGAAGTGAGGGTATAAATCTGTTTCAGTCTTGAATTTCATGCTTCATTGGTCACCTCGCTGGAATCTGCACAAAAGATCCCTACGTGACGTTTGTTGTGATGAGTAAGCCGAGCTATGGAATTTTTTTGCTCCTTGGTGTCGGAAGACGGAGGGCATTTTCTGCGAGATGTCTCTATAGTGCTTTAATATAATTGAATAGTCTATATGGTGGATTATAATAAAAAGCATTGACTTAAGGTTGAATGGATGAATAGATAGATAGATAGATAGATAGAGCGAACGATTGATCGATCGATAGATAGATAGATTAGACGGACAGAGGGATGAATAGATAGATAGATAGATAGATCGAACGATTGATCGATAGATAGATAGATAGATTAGACGGACGGAGGGATGGATAGATAGATAGATAGATAGATAGATAGATAGATAGATAAATAGATAGATAGATTAGACGGACAGAGGGATGGATAGATAGATAGATAGATAGATAGAACGATTGATCAATCGATCGGTCGATAGATAGATAGATAGATAGATAGATAGATAGATAGATAGATTAGACGGACAGAGGGATGGATAGATAGATAGATAGATAGATAGATAGATAGATAGATAGATTAGACGGACGGAGGGATGGATAGATAGATAGATAGATAGATAGATAGATAGATAGATAGATTAGACGGTAAGATAGATGATAGATAGATTTATAGTATTGACAGACAGATAGATGATAGACAGATAGATAGATAGATAGATAGATAGATAGATAGATAGATAGATAGATAGAGGAGCAAGCTATGAAATACAGAATGATTGCCTACCATAACTGATCATTGTATAATTATAATTCCCTATATAACCAGATACCAGATCTTAAATAAAGCAATTTTCACCATATTATGAATGAAATCCTAAACACACTGTCAAGCTATAAATGTGAACTAAAGTAATATCTGATAGAACAGTTCAAGTGCGAACACTCTAACCAGTAGTCACTCATTCAGATTCCATAAAGTGTTCCACATTCTATAATGACTACATCAGATTTACATAAGGTGATGCAGGTGGCCCACAGAGGATATCATTATCATCAATTTGATGTTTTATTGTCTCGTGCCTTTATCCTTCATCTAGCCAAATTAGCTTATTTTCCACATGTCCAGACCAAGCTGATCCCTGTATTAATATGAAGCAGTCTGTGGACCCCAGGGACTGCATGGCTCACTAAGCAGCCAGTAGTTTATACTAAAGACCTCTAACTAGTCCCAATCTCTAGGCTCACACTGGTGACCACACACTACGAGCCTTTGTCACCAAGCAGCCCTAGTATTGGGCAAGTGGGAAAACTAGCTTAATCCGAGTACATTCAGTTTTGGAATCTTTCCAAATCCAAGTTATCTATTGTGTCCTGCTACTCGCAAGGCATTAGTCATTGCTTGTGGTGTAATAGAGGCGTTCTCCCTTCCTCCTGTCCTGAGCCATTACAATCTGCTCACATTTTCTCACTTCACATGTGTCTAGTGGAGCTGCCAGGGCGAGAGACGCTGCTTTAAACCAATAGGAATTTCCTGTAGGCTGCTTTATGTCCTTGACGTGTGTTTAGTTGCTGAAAGGTAGAGTTTTGATACAACATCAGCACAAGAGCCAGGTCCTGCAGTACCAGAGCTAGCGCTAAGTTCAGCACCACGGACAGTTCCCTGCTGCCAGCGCTCTGTTCAGACTCTGAGAAGCAGACTGGATGCACATAGAACGTTCAGCATCCAGCATCCTTCGGCTGGATACACTGTATCCCACGCTGCCTCTCTGACAGAACGCACACTGCTTTACTCTGAACCTTCCTTTCTATGCTTCTTTCAAAGCCATTGAGCGGCAACAATCTTTGCAATTAGGCTTGGCGTTATTTGGCTTGTGATTTCCAAGGACTGATATGGCTTCTCCCGGCTCAGGTTTTTGGTCATTTGGGGCAGAGGATGGGGACAAGGACAATGAAACAGAGAATCCCAGCACAGGTAAGCAAAGTACGTTATCAAAAGGGGGTCTGATGATAAGAAATGGGGAGCAGGAATTCCGTCATCTTTTAGTGGATAGATACATTGTGTGAGACACTCGGTACAGTCACTAAATATTACATTTACAGATTCGGTACATGTAGAATTATTGCTTTTATAGTTAAATAATATATTTTAAATTACACATTTACAAAAAGAAAAAAAACGTATTATTTTGTGAAGTTAGCAATTCCATTATGCTGCACATCGGTGTTCTGTGTATTTTTATTATAGGTTTAATAATATGATTTATTTTGTTATATTTTATGTGTTTAATTTAAAAAGACATGGGAGTTGAAATATGTAGATCTATATAGTTACACATTTTTAATTTTTAAAATGTTCCACATAAATATAAATATATATGGTCAGAAATACATTTTGTGGATTGAATGATAATTGAATATTTTTATTTTATTTATTTTTTTGTAGTGAGAAGGTATATCCAGGCACACTAAAACAATAAATGCAAACTTTGTAAGCTCAGAAAAACCTTTCACATCTTAAATATGTAAAACAAAATTAGGGGGAAAAAACTGCAGAGATAAGAAAAACTGTGTATAATACAATAAGACAGATATTATCAGATATTATCTGGTTGGTTAGAAAAAAAAAATGAATTCCTGAAATATGTCTCTTTTTGTCTATTATCAAATCTTTTTATATTGACACTGTCATATTTTTTTGTAACAGCTAAAGCATGGTGTCAGGTAGCCCAAAAATTTACAGGAGGAATTAGCTCAAAATTATCAGGTGAGTGAAAAATTGAAAAAAGATTAAATTTTATTGATTAACCAATTTACTGTATATTTTCAAATAGCCTTTTTGATTTTCATTTATTATTTTTCAAATATGACATTGTTTTGTTTGTTTTTTGTTTGTTTTTTATACAGCTCTGCTTTATGGCGAAGCAGAAAGATCCTCAGACACTGGAACCAAAGAGGAGATGGATTCAGAAAATAAAGCAATGTCTTCCCATTATGACAAGAACGCCTGCAAATGCCAAAAAGGAGGATGTGATTTTTCTTCATTGTACTCAACAGGTCCATATAACATTGTTTAGATATGTCTGAATAATATAGATTATATTTATTTTACTGATTAAATTGTTAGTAAAAATATAATCAATAGTGCATTTCGTTTAGTACAATATTATATATTTGTATTTCAACTGTTTGACACAAATGTTTGAGGTGTAAAGAATACCATTGTAATTTTGTTTTTATATTGCAGTTATTCTTTAAATAAATAAATAAAATAAAAAATGTAAAAAAATAAAAAAATATGTATATATATCATAGTATTTTTATATATACAAATAACACAGATAGATAATAGACAGACAGAAAGATAGATAATAGACAGACAGACAGATAGAAAATAGACAGATAGTTAGACAGAAAAATAGACAGATAGATAATAGACAGATAGATAATAGACAGACAGACAGACAGACAGACAGATGGACAAAGAAATAAATATACAACATTCTTCACAACAATTGAAAATGTACATTAAAATTATTAATTTTTGTTGGATCCATTTCAGATCTCCTTCCAGCGAAAAATGGAGAAACAGACACGCTGTGTTTCTTACAAGAGGTCATGGATATTTTACTACAATATGTAGTGAAAACTTTTGACAGGTCCACAAAAGTGATTGATTTTCATTATCCAAATGAGCTTCTTCAGGAATATAACTGGGAATTATCTGAACAGCCACAGACTTTGGATGATCTCCTGCTTAACTGCAAGACAACATTAAAATATGCTATCAAAACAGGTACAGCATCACTTGATTTGTATGTATATATCAATATAAAATGTGCTTTATTTTTTATTTTTATTTTTTTAAAGATGATGAAAGCAATTTGGCGTTTGATTGCTAAATAGTTTATTGATGTGAATTGAAAAAGAATTTAGAGAACATTTATGCTAAAGGAATCTAAATTTATTAACTTAGAAAAAAAATAGTTATATGGTAGTAATTCTTATTAATATATTACTGATATTTTAATTAGTAAGGGCAGTAGTTATTGTTATTTTCCTTAGTGTGCACACACTATTTTCCTTAGTGTGCACACTCTTCCTTGACTATTTATATTAAAAAAAATATATACACAAAATAAGATTATCTATAAAATACAGGAGGGATTTTTCTTACTGATCTGTGTTTCAGACTCAGTGATCTTGACAAATAGCTTACAGCTAAATAATCTTTCATTACAGATTGTTGAGTTTACAAACATTGCAGTCTGTGTATTCTATCTGAACCAGTAAAACCAGCCTTGATACCAAAAGGTTCTACAGAAGTCCTTTGTCTGACAGCTGGTATACCATACATTCATTTAGCAATACATGTTTGATGGCCATTCAGAAATTAACACAAAGAAAGAAAATAGATAACAAAAACATATTTCCTTTACATGATTACATCATGTCTTTATATTAAATAAAGATACTATGCAAACACTGGTCACTCAGTATATGACATTTTAAGATTTTACATATACCACAATACTGCTATTTTGGCACTCATCAGTGGGTCAACATGTTTAATCAAATTGGCAAAGTGAGCTCACTGAGGCCGTACTAGATGAACATTTGATGCTAGCAGATCCAGGGAAAATTTTCTCCAGGCTAAAATGTGTCATTTCTGGCTTACATCAACACTTTCCTGTCTTGGTCAGTGATTGTGACCAGTTACCTTAACGCCCCTTTCCTCCTTGTTGCTCCCTGAAAAGAAATACATATTTATAATGTTAAAAAAATAAAATAATAAGCTAGACATTTAACATGAATTTAACACATTTTGCAATTATTGATATTACTTATAGTAATAATAATAATAATAATACAGTGATTATTATACATTTGGAATTTCTTGATTTAAGAGGTTTTTTTCATGGAGGAGAAAACCAAATATGTTTTTAAAATGTTAGATATTTATTTTTATTTTTTTAGAATATTCACCATTGACCTTTGATTTTGCTTTGATGGGCTTTGATTTTATATTTGAACCAGTATGCAAATAATATACGATAACGCAAGCAGGAGGAGGGCGGGATTTGTGTGACGTCACATTTGTGCGTGTGTATGTAAATTTAAATGTGTCAGATTTTCAAATAGATTGCTTATAGGCATGTTCGAAGCCACATGCCATATCAAATTAAATCCTTACCCTCTGTACGGTATTGAAAACCATTTTGTATTCAAAAGGTTTGCCAGTAATTATTTCAACGGACTATATGAAGAGCTACTAGCATAATGTGGAAATTGATTTTCCTGCTGTATGAAAAAAACAAAATAAAAAATGATGTGACAAATTTTCTTTACTGTCACTATTGAGAGCCAGACACATCTTATGCAGCCATTTTCTAGTCACTCCAAACTATGATAAAATGCCTTTGTACCTGCCTTATAATAAACTACTAGAATCACAAGGAAAATACAAAATGGCTTCCTGTTCATTAACAGTGACCCATATCTAGATTACTACGTTTATAAGGCAACTGCTATGCAAGTTTTAAGAAAGCAAAAACCTGCCCAAGAAACTTGAAACTTTTTTTTATAGTTAGTTTTTTTGTGTGTTTTTTTTATAAAATACTTCTAAACATTTAACAATTGGTCTTTCTGTCCAGAAAACAAATGAAAAGCTGTGATGTACGTCTAAATTTAAGGACATAAAAAAGGGCAGCAGTGTTGTTACAATAGTAGCCAGTCATATAATTTAATAGTGAATGCTGTCTTTTTATTCTGGGGAGTTTTGAGTTTACAGAGACATTGCTGTTACAAAAGAGCACAAACATTAACACACACGTTGTGCATCAAGATCTATAGGGTCTGCTGTCTGTGACGTAAGCTGACCATTATTAAAATTTTGAATAAATAATTATATTCAGACATTTACACAATGGACTTCAGATTCAGTTGTTTTCTGCATAATATGTGGTACTTAACATTAATTGCATGAAATACAGCCCTTGATTGTAGATTTACACTCAAAAATGCATGCAGACAGACAGTGAAGCAGACTTTCAGATATTTCAATACAGCTCTGAAGTAGACAAATCGTATACGTAAAAATTAAACCCTAATTAACCAGTCCACTTCACATGCTTCTGATTAATGCATTGTATCAAAAGCAAAATGCCATTATTTACAGGGATGTGCAAAACTGCACAGGCTTCAAAGATGAATTATAGATATACACTACACCCACAGTCTGAATCGAAATCAACAAAACACTCCTTTACGCTAAAATCCAACAATCCATTGTGTTATTATCATGTGGCACACGTTCAGTTGCGTGAAATATTAGACAGATCTTGTTGCATTTTGTTCAAATGCAGACTGAACGCTTGATAAAAAGAGTTAGCAGAATCAATCATTGTCTTATTTTACTTGTGATAATTACAATTTGGAGAGAGAAATCACTGGAAACAAGGGAACGGTCAAAATATACACTTTCATTATTTCCTCTTGGTTCCAGGATTTGTATTTTTAAATTAACCAATTATTTAAAGATTTTTTTGTCGTCACTTTCTTGTAAATGCAAATATCCCAGCCTTGCTAATGCTATTAAATGGCACAGAAAATTGCTTCTCTTTGAGAGCATTATTTTCACCCCATGTGCAAGAACATGATAACAGAGCAGGAGCAGTCTGGCAATGGAGTCACTAATTCGATGTGCTTTTTTTTTCTGACGGTTCTTTTTTTTTTCCTATACAAATCAGCTAGTTATATGGCACGGTAGCGTGTTTGAACTGAAATTGTTTCTGTTGCAGGCAAACAATTTTTTTCAGTACTTAAATAGCATCTCCAATTGTTTCTAACACTGGAACTTCGTATAAGTAACTGGATCCCACCTCTGAGTCATTCCTAATGAATCATTTAAATTCAAAATTTTAATTGCCTCCAGTTGTTCCCTAAAAGAGAAGTAAGAAAAAAAAAATACAATAGTCAGAGAGGATAAAATTAGTCTGTAAATGAAATCACTCAAAGCTTACCCTATTATATATAATTTGCGTGGCATTAATGAAGATTTTGTCTTAGATTAATTAAAACCAGGATTTGCTATGTAAAATTTTACTATCTGTACTATTACAAAAAATACAAAAAAGGATAAGTTATGTCTTATATGACTTATCAAAGCACCAGGGTCTATTATTTAACAAAATTTACCATCTGCATATTTCTTATCACCAGTTTTTTTGTTAAAAATTATGTAACATGTAGACTGATGACAATTTATACCATTCTTTATGTAGATAAGTGTTCAATTAAAATGTGTGTTAATCGTTTGTTAACAGCAGAGATTAGCTAAATATACTGTACTGCATATTTAATTTTAATAACGTACCCTATCATTGATGCATTGTTACTGTGGCCATAGTCAAGCCTATGCATGTGACTCTCCCTTTTAAATCTGCATATCCCTCCCTCAATTTTATCTCCATGTTATCCCCATCCATGCACGTCAGCACCTCCTCCACAGCAAAGCTGACATAATTTGGCCTTATTAGTAGTTACAAATAAAAGGCCTTCTTGAGTTTACAACATCTACCCTATGTTCCTTTATATATTACTGTCTGTATTTTTATATTATTAAAAAACAAATTTAAAGGGACATTCCACTGCTGAAATACAAAACTAATAATTACTATTTAGTAGATATACCCCAAATGAAAACTTACATGCATTTAATTATGTATTTTTTTCATTGGGAATACATCTAAAAGCATCTTGCAAAACCTGCAGTTTTCCTGTCTGCTGCCTATGTAAGCTCTCCCCTTCTAACCCCGCCCAGACTTCCTGTGATTGTCCAATCACAGACTGCCCAATACAGCTCAATGAGAAGTCTTTGTAAGTCAGGTGCTCTGGGTAATTGCTGCTACTTGAGGTCAGCTGCATTGAGCTAACAAAACCAGGAAGTAACATTACCTGATGTCTGCTTGAAAGCCAAGTGGATGTAACCAGGTTATTTTATAAAAGTGTCAATTTCTTTTGAAATCTGCACTTTTTGCAAAATAAAAAAAAAGGATACACTCTTTACACATAATGCTTTTCAGCAAGCTAAAGTTGTTTAGGGGTATGGAGTTACCCTTTAAGATATGATGGAGCCATATTCATGTATCCTACAGTAGGTGAGTTTGCAGTAGGAAACAGTGGGGAAGGGGGAACTGAAAGGTCAATATGAATAATAAAAGATATTACAAGGATGTATTGGAGAGCAAAGACTTTTGGAGTTAGGCATAGCAGTGAAAAGGGGACACATTTTCACTGTTATGCCCAACTCCAATGGCATAAGAATGGCAATTTATAAAGAATACAGACTATGTGGAAGCATAAGGAAGTAAGATATTGCATGCCTAGGTAGAATTAAAAAAAAGATTGAGTGTGGACAGAAGGAAAAAAAAGCAAAAGAGAAGTGAACATTTATGTAATAAGGATTTAAAAGATAAGAACGTGAAGCTGATGGAAAACAAAAGAAAAGGATATCCACATATGATGAGGACAGAAGGGAGATAAACATGGGAAAAGTTAAGTCAAGGAAAAATAGTTGTAAACAAAAGAAAGAAGAAATAGAAAGATTGAAAAGTAAGTAGGAATCATCACGCAAAAAAGTAAATGTAGTGTGAAAATGAGGAAATATGGTCAGAAAAAAGACAATGAAAAAATAATAATAATCTGATTTCCGGCATCATGCAGTAGCGTTCAGTGATGATAAATCTAGTCTAATGACTACCACTGGAAATCCAATTAGGTGACAGAAAGGGAAAAAGGTACTGATGGAAAAGATGGGTACAGATTGGGAAATTATGTTAGATGTAGGAATACAAGGAGTAGAGAGAGATAAGTCACGAAAGGTAGGAAGAGGAGCTGGAAGAAACTGAAAGGTGGGATCAGCATCAATCTGACAATCAGTGAACAGACACATAGGCATAATAATGGGAACAATTTGTGAGTGAGCTTTGGAACTGGACCTGAGAGGTCAGAACTAGAGGTCAAACAAGTAAGCACAAGAGGGGAATGCATAGTGTGCATTGAATTGGAGAGCATCAGTGTTCCTCACTGCTTTTTAGAAAGAAGCCACGATGGTCAGAAAGAACCAGTAGGAAAGCCACATTTTCCCGAAATCCCTGTGGACTACAAGTTTAGTTCATTTCTTCCCGCAGGAAACATACAATTTAAACACATAATGCAGACAATATTGGAAATGCTATCTGTTTATTATGATTTTGAATGTACATAGCTGGTATATGGAATTAGGATGTCCTGTCTGATGCCCCTGCCTATAACCCCTGTCCTTACCCCATACCCCTCTTTACCCAACATGTGTCCCCTGCACATATCCCCCTGCTGTCCCTTCCCCATATCCTAATTACTATACTTGTGACCTCTGCCTATTTCAATTTGTGTCCCCCTCCCTCTCCATATTCCTCATATGATTTATCTAATTAATAATTTATTTGTGGATTTTTTCCTGTCTTTTCACCGTGTTGTCTGTCCACACTCCAATGTTCTCTGTCTGCGCTCCTATGCTCTCTCCATCCTCCTCCTTCTGTCTGTACACCCCTGTTGTGTGTGCCTCCTTCCACCTCCCTAACACCATTCACTTACTGTCATTGTAGTGCAGCCATGTGGTAGCAAGACAGAAATTATTCATTCTCTTTTGCTGGGTTTGTCCGCTCAGCCCATTCAACCTGTGTTATGAGTAGATAGAAGGTGGAATATAATGTTACACTCTTCCCTCCACTCACAGTGCAAGCTGAACTTGCCGAGCTGACAGACAAGGCAGAGGAGATTGAATACAATCTCTTTCTTTGTATTGCTTGGTTAAGTTACAGAAGGCAGTAATGCAAAGCTTGGAAGCCTGGAGTTGTGAGTATCCACGTCCTGGCTGTCACCATGGTTGGAAAGCCCCTATTTTTACACTACTGCCTGGACCGGGTCCAAATGTGATTTACTGTGAGCTCCAGCAAAGCCACATCTGACTCTTGGAGTGTGCATTGAAGTCTAGGATATAAAATATATTCAAAAATATATCCAAATCAGGAAGATGAAAATAGCAGAAATAACTTGAGAAATTGGCTATAAGGAAATTTTGGTCAAAATGTACTGTCCCATATTGCTTTGCATGAGTAATACGTTATCCTTTTGTCCAGATTGAGTCTCTCCTCAACCACATTTCTCTTCAGTACTCCTTTCAATCCCTAGCATGTCCCCCTATACCAATATCTCAGCAACTCTCTTCCACCTTGTTGTTGGACTACAACTACCAAACCCATTCCATTCCAACCTCTTGCAAACATAATATGCATAAAATGCAATAAGGTAACACCAGACTGCTGAACCAGCAACATGTTTTTATTTCTAACATGTATTCATTTGATTTCTTAGGACATCCAAGATATTTTAATCAGCTTTCAACTGGACTTGATATGGTAGGGTTAGCTGCAGATTGGTTGACTTCAACAGCAAATACCAACATGTAAGTATTATTGATCATTCTGACTGAAGATAACTAAACACAATGCCTATGCCTTGGACTGTATTTCAAGCATTAAAATGCTGAATAGGATGTATTAATTAAATGCAATGTTAATTAGAAATATGTCATTTGACAATGCTACTTTGAAAGGTAACTTTAAAAAAAATAAATGTTGAAAATGACGTCAATATTTGTGCGTTCAAGTCCTATATTTCTTAGGACATTATTTTTAAAAAACAAAACAAAAAGTTATCAATGCTCGCAAAGAGTGGCTATAACATTGACAATAACAATGTATTTAACCTGGAACTCTACATTAAACTGCCATTTGTTTTCAAGTATGTCCTTGGGATTAATAGATAGCTAACAACATTGGCTCTACCCTAGTCTTTTTGTTGATTGTGAAATGATCTTTATATATATATATTAATTATATTTTTTTATTCAGTTCTCACGCAGTCACTGGGATATTGAGGGGGTGGGGGGAGTGGGAACAATATTATACACTTACATTTGTCAGAGGCCAGGAACTGCTGTGGCTGTGCTCTCCCTGTGCTGCTTCCAAGATGGCTTCTTGCTTCTCTCTCTTGTGGACATTGTATCCACACCCCCTGGTGCTATGAACCAATGATTTCCCCTGAATAGAGAGGCCAATAGCATGCCTCCACTCATGGGCAGCTGGACCTGCTGCCCAAATTAAAACTCAATGGAAATTCCTTCTTATTGGACATGTGCAAAACCTGCTGACACAGGGCGGATTTCAAATCTGACCCATTTTTTTGGCATGCCTAGATGCTCTCAAGTAAGCTTCTCCAAACAGTTACCAATAAGAGGGATGGAACCTTTATTGGATTACTACCTTCCCCTCCAGAAAAATGATCTTCATAACTATTACAAATAATTGTTTTCACATTAACACTGGTGGGACTCTGCCCCAAATGCCCTTATAGATGAGCCAACAATGTCTAGGCTTTTAACTGTAGATGACCTTTTAAAAACAGCTACAAAGCTTCTTTTGCAAGACATTTGCAAGTTGCAGACATGTTATTTATTTCACAATGTGCAGATAACCATGGCTGAACAGGAAAATATCATAAATAGATGTTCATTTATTAAACCAGGAATTGTAGAGAATTAACAAGGGATTGACCATTTTAGACCACAAATTGCTAAGCTGGTGAAATACATGAATTTAAAGGAACCGTCTGTAATTATAGACCTCCCAATGCAACTCTATAAGAAGTCTTTGCAAGGCAGGTAGTTTTGAACTTAGATCCACTGAGCTAAACAACCAGGAATTTACATTAACCAAGATGCATTTTCCTCACCCCCACTACCTCCCCTTCAAAAATGCATCTTCACCTGTATCGCTTTATCATAGCACTGGCCCTGGATAGGGTGATTCTGATTGACTTGACCTTGGACCCTTTGGATAGTGTCTGACACAGGCAGAGTGGTTCTAGTTGATGAACTTAAACCCCCTCTTGACTTTCTTACCCACTTTTGGGTTTATTATTCTCTCTTTTGAATGACTTTAGTGTGTCTTATCCCCTTTAGTATATCATATCCCCCTATTTTTCCATTTCTGTGTCTCTTACACACTCTTTGTGTGTCTCTTACTTTCCTCCAGTCCCTTTGTGTGTCTCTTACTCCCGTCCAGCCCCTTTGTGTGTCTATTACTCCCCAGGCCCTTTGTGTGTCTCTGTCTCCTCCAGCCCTTTTGTGTCATTTTCTCCCCCTAGCCCCCTTGTGTGTCTCTTTCTATCCCAACCATTTTACGTGTCTTTCTCCCCTTCCCAGCCTTTCCTATGTAGCATGGCTAAGCCACAGACGGGGGAGAGGAGCTTCAGTAACCTCTCCTTGGTCTGACAGTGAGTAGTTCTGCCCTCTCTGTGTGCACTTCCTGTAAGACTGGGGTAGATGTTACTGCAGCCCCTTTCCCCCAGTCTGTGAGTCAGCCAAGCTACCTCGGAGTGACTGGCAGGAGGGGAGCACTGTGCAGTGCGTTCCCATACTGCTGGATAGCCAGATCTTGTGCCTCAAGGCCGGTGCCTGTATCGCCTTATGATAGCGCCAGCCCTGGATATGGTGATTCTGATTCACTTGATCTTGGACCCTTTGGATAGTGTCTGAAACAGGTAGTGTGGTTCTGGTTGAGGAAGTTACAAGAATTCTGAGACAGAGAAGATGTGACAGTAGCAAGGTGGCAGAGACGCTGGGAATAGAACACTGAGGAAGTGAGCCTGTGGTAATTCTGATTCAGGGAGGCTGTGGTATGATCAAGGAAAGAGGAAGACTGGTGGGAACACACTGAGACAAGAGGGCTGATAGGATCACTGAAGCCATGAAGTTGTGACAGGATTTTTATGGCAGAGAGACTGAGAAGCCAACACTCAAACAGGGAGACTGTAGCAATTCTCAGTAAGGAGGCTGTGGAACGAACAATAAAGCCTAATAGTTGCCACAGGGCAGAAAGACAGGGACACAGGGATGCAGGGACAAGAACAGTGCAGCCAGGGGACTATGACAGGAACAATGAGGCAGAGAAACTATAGCGGGAACATGGAGGCAGGGGGTAATGACAGGAAAATCAGTTACAAGAACACAAAGTCAAAAAGTCTGTGAATGGAATGTCGAGATATGACAGGAACACTGAGAAATCTGATCAACCACATGACATCGGAAGACACCAGAGAGTTGTTAGCCAACTGCCCCAAGGACATAAAAAGCACAGGGTCAATATCTTCTATACTGAATTTTAAAAATACATGTGTGTATCCTAAGGGAGAGTGTGATGGAGAATTGTACAGGTTGGAAAGGAAAGGACTATGTTGCAATAAAGGGCAGAGTACAGTCTTCCATGTAGCACAAAATGTACTGTCAGTGAATAGGATACATTCATGTTATATCCACAGAGACCAGAAGTGGTCCAGCAAGTGCTTTCATATTGATCAAAATCTCAAGAAAGATAAGTCTAATCTCCCAGGGGGTGATATTGTAACACATATCTTTGCTAATATGTTTTATTAAATATTTAAACCAATGTTAATATTCTTCTCTATTAATGATCATTTACATTCCAGGTTCTCTTATACAATAACTTTTTTCTTTTTTTACATACTATTTGGCTCTAGTATCATTCTTCATATGTAGGTGAAATGGTTGTTTATTCAACCAACAAAATGCTGGCTGCTTTTTAATTACTGAATAAACAGCCATTTAACCTACATAATACTGTGTGCTGAAAGCTTCATTATTTACATTTGTTACGGTGGAGTTTCCTGGAACAGGAATCTTACCTACTGCACAGGCACCTTAATCTAGGAGTTGTTTGGTGTGCTCCCTACCACTTGACTATTAGATTATATAATATGGCTGACAGAACTAGCTTAAACTTTCTGTTTAGACTACGAAGTTGTTAAGTGTATTTATTATTTGTGTCACTCATTGCTGGGTTACGCTACTCGTTGTCTCACCTCCCAGAGCAGGAAGATCTAAGCAGGTCATGTGGGCCCATATTTCATACGTCTTCATCCCATAGCCGAGGGAATGAGGTTTGGAATAAGTGGGCTGCTATATTATCAGTCTTCACGTTGCTGCCTGTTGTGTAAAGTAAAGGAATTGGCCATATCACTGGCACCCAAGTAGTTTATAAGGAACCTGGACAACACCAAGCTTTTTTATTTATTTATTTAACTATCTCACTAAGTATTTATTAATCAATTCAGTTTCAGGAATAGTTTGGGAATTCATTCCCGAGCATTTCCTGTGCTATTTAGTGCTTTTCTGCTCTGAAATTCCCCAAGGGCATTCCTCGAAACTTGATATTGAATATAATAATTAATCTCAGTAGGTTAATCATTTGTTTTATTTTCCTGTGTAGCCTAGGATCAGTTTGGGAAATTAAAAAAAAAAGATTGCTTTCATTGATTGCTAAAATATGTGTACATTTAAGTTTTTTTGTTTTTCATTTACGATTTGTGATTCTCGCACTAGGTGTCTATAGTTTTCACACTAATTATTAACTATAGTAATTACTACAAGAACAGGTACATGTGCAAAAGATTGTCACACTCATACTCAGGGCCGCCATCAGGGGGTGACAACCATAACGGTTGTCACGGGCCCGGTGGCCCTGGGGGGCCCGGCCACCCAGGCCCCACGTGTAGCGGTGGAACTGCCGCCAGTGCACTTGCGATGGAGGCCCACACACTGATGGGGCCCATCGGTGTGCCCCATGCACTTTGGGCCACCCGATGGGCCCTATATCTTCAGGGGCCCAGTCAGCGCTGTGGCCGTGGTATAGCGTGACCAGGCAGTGAGGGAGAGCCATGCCGACTACTCCCATCAGCTCCAGCCACCCTCCTGCAAATAAAAGGTAAGAGACAGGAGGGTGGCTGGAAAATGAGCTGTGTGTGTGTGTGTGTGTGTACGTATGTATGTATGTCTGTATGCATGTGTGTCGGTATGTATGTCTGCATGCATGCATGTATGTATGTATATCTGTATGTACGTCTCTATGTATGCATGTCTGAATGCATGTCTGTATGTATGTATGTCTGTATGTATTTATGTATGTATGTCTGTATGTATGTCTGTATGTATGCATGTCTGAATGCATGTCTGTATGTATGTCTGTCTATGTATGTATGTATGTATATATGTCTGTCAGTATGTATGTATGTATATATGTCTGTATGTATGCAAGTATTAATGTATGTCTGTTAGTATGTATGTATATATGAATGTATGTCTGTATGTATGTCTGTATGTATGTATATATGTATGCCAGGATCAATGTATGTCTGTATGTCATTATGTATGTATACATGTATGTCTGTATGTCAGTATGAATGTGTGTCTGCATATCATTATGAATGTATGTCTGTGTGTATGTGTGTATGGATGTCAGTATGTATGTATGTCTGTCAGTATATCTGTATATATGCCAGTATGTCAGTCTGAATGTATGTATGTATGTATGTCTGTATGCCATTATGAATGTATGTATGTATGTATGGATGTCAGTGTCTGTATGTCTGTCAGTATGTCTATATGTATGAATGTATGTATGTCTGTATGTGTGTATGTGTGTATGTATGTATGTGTGTATGTATGTCGTTGTCTGTATGTATAAAAACAAACAGTTAAGTGCGCTAAATTTTTAAAGTGCAAACATATTGCAGCAACACACAATAAATAGACAAAACTGTGCAATAGTATAAAGTGCTTGATAATGTGGCAAAAACACTTATACACACTTTTAGCAATCTGTGTGAACCTTCCTTTAAAGTGCTTCAATCCACTCACAGATAGATAAGCAGCAAACAATGTTAATACACTGCTTATAAGTGCAAAAAATACAGTGTAAACAGGTGATATTGTGCACAAATATTGTAAATATATATATATATATACACACACACACACACACACCTTACAATAACAGCATTAGCAGCAAATTTTCAGGTAAAACCCAATACAAAACAGAAAAACATATATATAGTGTAATACCGTAAATTATATCCAAAATATGACTATAAGTGAGGTAGGTATTTGACTCACAAACACAGAGCAAATGGGTCTGCTCTAACTGTAACAGCCTTAATCAGTAGACTTTCACTTCAGCAGGTAGAAAATTAACAGCCTTTATTTCAAACGATAAAATCCAAAATTCACAAGTCACCCTGATCCCTGGTAGTGAAGAGCCGTCCGTTCGCTGACTGGATGCAGTTGCCGGCGGGCACCAAAGTTTCTGCAAAATCCTCTAACAGCTCCGGTCTCGATCTATTACTTCGGGAGGCGGGGTTTAGCGCGATGACATCAGATGACGCATTTCACCAGGTTCAACCGGCTTCCTCAGATCTCAGGTGTCTGTATGGATGTCATTGTGTATGTATGTGTGTATGTGTCTTTATGTCCTCATGCATGTGTGTCTGTATGTATGTTAGTATGTGTCTGTCTGTCACTATGTATGCCTGTGTGTCTGTATATGTGTGTATGTCTCAGTATGTGTGTGTCAGTATGCCTGTATGTGTGTATGTCTGTTTCAGTATGTGTGTCTGATAGTATGTATCCGTGTCCTTTTGTATCAGTGTATGTGTTTGTGTCTGTGTGTGTATTCCTGTGGGCGGTATTTTGAGGTGGACCTTGTGGGCGGTATCTGGAGGCGGGCCCCAGACCCTGAGCTGAGTTAGGAGCCCCAACATTTCTGTTGGCGGCCCTGCTCATACTGTATACATATTCCTCTCCCCGAACTGATAACATTAACTTCTTTATTCTGCCCTGTAAACAATAACCCTCTTGTGTGTTTCTGTGTGTAGTGTTGGCATGGCAGTGTTTGTATGTGTAGTATCAGCGTGGTGTGGCAGTGTGTGTGTGTAGTATCAGTGTGGTGTGGCAGTGTTTGTGTAGTAGCAGCGTGGCGTGGCATGGCAGTGTTTGTGTGTGTGTAGTATCAGAGTGGTGTGGCAATGTGTGTAGTATCAGCGTGGTGTGGCAGTGTGTGTGTGTAGTATCAGTGTGGTGTGGCAGTGTTTGTGTAGTAGCAGCGTGGCATGGCAGTGTTTGTGTGTGTGTAGTATCAGAGTGGTGTGGCAATGTGTGTAGTATCAGCGTGGTGTGGCAGTGTGTGTGTGTAGTATCAGTGTGGTGTGGCAGTGTTTGTGTAGTAGCAGCGTGGCATGGCAGTGTTTGTGTGTGTGTAGTATCAGAGTGGTGTGGCAATGTGTGTAGTATCAGCGTGGTGTGACAGTGGTTGTATGTGTAGTATCAGCATGGTGTGGCAGTGTGTGTGTGTGTGTAATATCAGCATGGTGTGGCAGTGTTTGTGTAGTGTCAGCATGGTGTGGCAGTGTTTGTGTGTGTGTAGTATCAGAGTGGTGTGGCAATGTGTGTGTAGTATCAGAGTGGTGTGGCAATGTGTGTGTAGTATCAGCATGGTGTGGCAGTGTTTGTATGTGTAGTATCAGAGTGGTGTGGCAATGTGTGTGTAGTATCAGCGTGGTGTAGCAGTGTGTGTGTGTGTGTAGTATCAGTGTGGTGTGGCAGTGTTTGTTTGTGTAGTATCAGCATGGTGTGACAGTGTTTGTGTGTGTAATATCAGAGTGGTGTGGCAATGTGTGTGTAGTATCAGTGTGTTTCTATATGGGTGATGTGTGTAGTATCTGTGTGGAAGTTACATAGTTACACAATAACCTAGATTGGAAAAAAGGCTCAAGTCCATCAAGTTCAACATTGAATACACATGTTTTTAAACTGTTTATGCAAAAGAAGGCAACACCCCCTTCAAAAGAACCCCCTTCAAATTTGGAGCAATTTCCAATTATGCAACAAAAAGGGGAGACAAATTAATCTTGATTCCATAATGGGAATCAGATGTCTCCTTAGATCAACAACCTGTTTGCATGCATATTAATTATATCCTTGAATATTCTGGTTTTCAAAAAAGAAAACAATGCCCATACCTTTTTTCACATATCTATGGATTATGATAGGACAATGTCTTTGGGTAGAGGATTCCACATCTTTATTGTTCTTACTGTAAATAACATGTTCCTCTGCTGTAAGCAAAAACACCTTTCTTCCAGTTTAAATTGAGGACTCCTTGTCTGTTGCATATTAGCACATAGCAGTTTGTATTGTCCCTGTATATATTTGCTTAATGCTATCATATCCGCTCTGAGAGACGTTTTTCCACATTTTTACAAATACAGTTTTCAGTTTTGCATTTATTGGTATTGAATCTCATCTGCCACTTGTCTGCCCAGTCCCCCAATTTATAAAAATCCCTCTGTAGAGAAGTAATATCATGTTCCGCCTGTATTTCCTTACTTAAATTTTGTGTCATCTGCAAACAACACATGACTTTCAATGCCCACTTCAAGGTCTTTTATAAACAGATTAAATAGAAGTGTCCTCAGGGCAGAACCCTGAAGCACTCCACGTACCACTTTTATCAAGTTTGGAACTACAGGCTGCACTCTATCTTTACACCAGTGTTCGATCCAAGAACAAGATTTTACATCTAAATCAGTTTCAACTTTAATAGTAATAATTAATAATACTTTTGTGTGGAACTGTATCAAAAAGGATTATTATGTAGCACTTAGCTCTCAGTTTTTTATTTAGTGTTTGACTTCAATGGGGTTCGGGGTTTGTTTGTCATTTACACTTATTTGCACTAGGTGAAAATTTATATTTTGGGTGTTTGAATATATTTCGTTTTATTTTATTCTATATTTACTAATAAATAGAGCTAAGCAGACACCTGGATGTTCAGGTTTGCCGAGTTCGGCTGAACTTCGTCAAAAAGTTCCAGTTCGGGCTCGAACTTGACCCCAAACCCGAACCCCATTGAAGTCAATGGGGACATGAACTTTTGGGTACTAAAATGCCTCTAAAAAAAGTCCTGGAAAGGGCTAGAGGGCTGCAAAAGGAAGTAAAATGGGGGTAAGATTAGGACAAGTGCCCTGCAAACAAATATGGATAGGGAAATGACTTAAAATAACATAAAATAAGCAGCCGCTTAGTAGATAATTCCCTAATTCCCATGGTCTTTCAACAACATTTACTAATACTAAGTAAAGATAACTTAGTATTAGTAAATTCAGCCCTTACTTGCTGTAAAAAAAAACCAAATAAAATAAAAACCTATTGGTCCCCACCCCAGAATGGTGGGTGGGGGCCCTAAAGTAAAATAAGGGGGGCGGACCTATTGTCCTCCACCCCGGCCCCCACCCCTGAGTGGCAGGTGGGGGCCCTAAATAACAATGAGGGGGACCTACTGTCCTCCCCCCGGCCCACACCCCTGCACGGCGGGTGGGGGCCCTAAATAAGAATGAGGGGGGACCTACTGTCCCCCCCTGGCCCCCACCCCTGTGCAGTGGATGGGGGCCCTAAATAAGATGGAGGGGGGACCTACTGTCCTACCCCTCGGCCCACACCCTTGTGCGGCGGGTGGGAGCCCTAAAAAAGAATGGGGGACCTACAGTCCTCGCCCCCACCCCTGCGCGGTGGGTGGGGGCCCTAAATAACAATGAGGGGCGACCTACTGTCCTCCCCCCAGGCCCCCATGATGCATGGTGGGTGGCGGCCCTAAATAAGAATGAGGGGGGGGACCTACTGTCCTCCCCCCAGCCCACACCCCTGGGTGGTGGGTGGGGGCCCTAAATAAAAATTTAACCCCCCCGTCACCCATCTCCCGGAAGCCGGAGTGGAGGACAGTTTGTTCCACCCCTCCTCATTGTTCTGTAGGGCCCCCACCCGGCACGAAGGGGTGGGGGACGGGGGGAGGACTGTAAGTCCCCCCCCATTGTTATTTTGGGCCCCCACCCGCTGCGCTGCGCACACGAGTCAAACGCTTGTTGATTGGCTGCCCTGCAGCTTTTCACAATGCACCATTAAATCGCCAAACACCGAACTCCAACCCAAACATACAGTGAAATGTCCGTGTTCGGGTCCGGGTTCCAAAAACCGTAATGTTCGGTACGAACCCGAACTTTCCAGTTCGGATTCGCTCGACTCTACTAATAAACCTTAAGTTTTATGATATACACATTTTTTAGAACTCCTGAAAATTAGGGACAAATGACCATACCCTTGCAAACTCCTGATTTTGTTTGCTTAAATATTGATTTAAAATAAAGGGGTTAACCCCCATACGGGAGTTTATACCTCTATTTGTTAAACTTTTGATTAATGTATCAAATACCTACTTAAAATCCAAGTCAATCACATCCACTGCAACACATTGATCCAGAGATATGCTCAATTTGGCAATAGGAATATCTGCTAACTTGGGTTTCAGTTGATGGGGAAATGAAGTGGTGGTTGGTAAGTGCCCTTTAGTCAGTAGGCATTCATTTTAGGTATCCCAAAGAGCTGGTGTTCTGCAAAAAAAAAAGGCCTGCACAATTTGAGATTCCTTTATTCATTCTGACAATTTCTATATTGGTGGTTAAATCTAAAAGTCAATAAAGTGAAGGACATGAACATAAGTTGTGCTTGCTGTTAATCTAAAACTACTGTGTCCTGTTATAGATAAACAATTATAATTATATATAGGTTTTTTTTCTTTGATTAGGATTATGAATATTATATTTACATTATATTGTTGTTTTTTTTAGGTTTACATATGAAATCGCACCTGTTTTTGTACTTCTAGAGTATGTCACCCTAAAGAAAATGAGAGAAATGATAGGGTGGCCCGGAGGGTGCGGAGATGGGATTTTTTCACCAGGTAAATAATTGATATATATAAGAAATAATGCTCTTTATTGTGTTTTTTTTTTATCTGTTCAAATATTTTCCCAGTTACCTAGTACAAATGCTAACAGGGTCTAATTCTCAAATAAATATTGACAGGCTGTGCTTTTCAAAGATGTATGCATTCCTTAAAGCATACTACACATTACCGTTAGCATAAATTCTGCCATGCAGGGACTTTAATCAGATGAGACATTTGCCTCCAGTTCTTGGTGTCCTTAGTCATTGGACACAGCAAATCTAAAACACAGCATTGTTTTGGTTTTTTTTAAATCTTCATTTAAGATACAACTCAAATAGATAAAATGACAGTGCACAGTCAGTGGCAAAACACAATCAGAGCATGATTCACAATTTATTTCAAGAATTAACCGTATAGAAGCAGAAAAAAAAAGGAAAGAGAAAAAAAAAAAGAAAGGAAGGGTATGCGATAGGGGAGAGAGTAGGAAAAACACCCAATGCAAAGAAGTAGAGAGAGGTTGTCCCAAAAATTACCCATAATTGACTAGAAATATACTCAAGCCATTAGTCAATGGTCTTATGAAAAGAAGGAAGGGAATTGGGATTTTATTGATAAAAAAAAACAAAAACAAGTTGTCAAGAACAAACCTTGAAAATGTGCGATACTTTATATATTATTATTATTATTTTATTATTATTACCATTTATATAGAGCCGACAGATTCCGTATATAAGGTGTCAAGTATGTTGTTAACGTTTTGGCCCCTGAAGACGTTTATCAAACCTGTTTATAAAGACCTTTAGGGCTGAAACTTTAACAATTTACTTGGCACCTTAATTAAAGGATCACACACATTCAAGGTTTGTGTCTAAGAACTTGTTTTGTATTGATATTGTTTCTTAATGGCAAGGCCAATGTCTGTGCACCTTGGGCGTTTGCCTGTGTCCTCCATCGCACTACTACAAGGTGATTTTATTGTACAGCCTTTGAGAGTGGAACGGAAAAAAAACACAGCATTTTTATGAGCACTGTGTATTGAGTTTTACATTTTTATTAATTCGCTATCTACAGTAAACCACATTGGAATCTTGGTATAACAGAAAGAGATTAGAATGTCCAAGTAATTACTAGAGATATTGTAGTCCTAAATCTTCAAACTGCCTCTTATCATCTAATTTATCTTTTTACTCCATTACTAATGAACTGAATGAACATACCAAATATTTTAAAGGTGCCTTTATTATATACAAGATATTTGATTTAACCATCCCAATGAAGGGAATAACTTTAATATTAACCCACGCTTTTCAGTGGGTCATTATATTTCTTTAATGTTTAAATGCATTTCTTGTCTGTTGCTTATTTTGTTAGGTGACCATACTGGTTTAATCATGGGAATCTTAGGCAGAACTTGACAATGAAAGTTCCTAATTTGGAGATATGGTCATCGTCTCCTTGCCTTTTTTCCATGCATCCAGTTTATAAATGATTGCAAAAATGTGTTTTTCAACGTTTCTCTTTGGATCTTGTGCTTATATATACTGCAGTTTCCCAAGCAATTTCCACAGAAGTAGACAGCTACTATGAGAAACCAGGATATGATATTACAGAATATGCTTCTGATAATTTAGTTCTGTTAAGGATACATTGCCTGTTGCCGTCTGTGCAGCTATATTCCACATTCTCTAGACCTCCCTTTGCAGGTGTTTATGTAGAACTACAATATTCATTATACTTTGACATAAGTTGGCATTTGGAGTTCTACAGCAGCTGGAGTTCTAAGTTATGGCCATCCCCGCTCTAGACTTAGTCCCGCACTCACAGCTACTATAACCACTACAAAGAGCTATGTTAGCTATTGTTTAAGAATGATATTTTGATGTTTAATTTAGAAATAAATATATAAGTTATAGATTTTTTATTATTCATTCAGGGAATCCAAGATTATATCTCAGTATAGAAAGAATTCTGATTCTCAACGATTTTGTAAAACACCTTTACCTGATCAATAATAGTGCTGTAGAAATACTGCTGTAGATAGTGCCTTTTGTGCAAATAAAAAGGTGGATGGTTAAATAATGCTTGTCATTATTGCCTTTTATTAATGACTTCCAAGAATGTTGTGGATAATTATAGGGATTGCCCACATTAAATACTTTGGAAGCATCTGCATTAATGCAATGTTAATTAAAACTGTATCTTTTTAAATTAAGACTAGTTATATTTTGACATAAAGAAATATCCTTGCAAAGGCTCATGTAGTTATAATTTGTAAAGCAATATAGACATGTTAAACAGAACTCTTAGTTGTAATTTAATAATATATTTAAGCTGTAACTTATGTGGATAACATAACTCTTTTGTTATGCTGTCACGATACACAGGGTTATTTACTAAGGTGAGAATATTCAAAGTGAATTCAAAGCAAATTTCAAATTTAAGGCCAGAGTAGCTGAACTGGAAAGATCAATATAAAAATAAAATAAAGCAGTGCTATATATAACAGAACAAAAATAGTAAGGCAGCACCTGAAAATGGGGTATACCCTCTGAAAACCCCAAACAGCAAAAAACAATGGAGTACATGATGCGCCAAGAGACAAATAGAAATAGATAGTATAAGAGAGACAACTACAGATGGTACAAGATAATACCAGATAAAATATAATGTCCCAAAAATAGTATTTTTTATAAAATTCTTAATATGATTCTTGATAGTAGCTTCTCTTCAGAAACGCCATATAAAAGAGAGAAAAAAACAGAGAGCCAATAGTGCAGTATGTCAAATATTCAGGAGGATGTACAACACATAGGTAAAATTCCAACTCACATATGGTGGAGCTAAATGAGCTCTGGATAAAATGACACACAGTGGTACAAATCCCCACTTGTAGGATAAACCTCTCACGATAGTCAACAACAGAGTAGCGATCAGGCAAGCCACATAAAACAGGAGAAAAAAGTGCAATAGTGCTCACTGTACAAAATAGTGGTAAAAGGATAATAAAATACTGCTTACATTTAGACAAACCGCTCTTTGTATCACGTATAAACTGGAATTTTTCCAGTTCGGGTATTTTGACCTTAGACTTGAAGTTCACTGTGAACTCTGTCTGAATACTAACTTTAGTAAATAACCCTGACAGCAATTTATAACAGAAAGGTTATTTTTGGCTTGGTCCCCTAGCCAACTTAAGAAATTAATTATTTAATTGTGACTTTTTAAATAAAGAAATGCAGATAGAATATTTGCATTTTTAGATTTCAGAAAATGTCAAACCCCCCGTATCTTCTTGACATTAAATTCGATTCTCATCTCATAAAAATAATATAAATAAAATTATAACTAAACAATGAAAACAGCACGTATGGTGACATTGCTCCTTTTTTAAATTACCATTGTATTAGTAACAAGCTATAAAGCACTATTTTGCTCTTTTATACTTAGAAATGAATTCCATCTGATTATTTTTTTAACAAATTATCTAACTGATTGAAAATTCTCATATACTGCAGGGTAAAAAAAAAACAACTAATTTAAAGGGACCAACAGATGATAACCTTAGGCCTCCCCTATAAAACCCCACATGTTTATCAGAATTAGTAAGAGTGTAGCAATGAATATCAACTGAAGCAATTACAATAATTTATATATGTGTGCCCCAGGCCACCCATGATGGCAATGCAATCAAGGCCCATTTATCAAAAGTAGGCATCTCAAATATCCCTACCAGGTCTGTGTAGGAAGCAAAGCATGGAATCACTGCAGAGTAAATCTTTTTGAATTAGTGAGCAGAGAATCATTAGGTTGTGGCTGGATTTCTTTTTAATATGGTAGTATGGCTAATATTCATTTATGAGTACATGTAGTAAGATACGAGATGCAAGGGGTTAAAACTGTTATAGTCCATGAGTGTTGTGATTCATAAGTCACTTATTCAATATTAGTGATGCAATGAATGTGTTCCAGCAATGGTCTATGGAACTGATCATGTTACACATGCACTTAGCATACGAGTGAACGCATCGGTGATACAATAAACTGTCCTTGATTGGTTATAGCAGAAGTGGCAAACTGTAGTTGTATTTTGTCTTTTTACTTATAGTAACATTATGTAACATAAGCAATAGACTTAAGTGTTTGGTTTCAATCAAATTGCTATTTGTCTTAATTTTGGGCAGTTGGCAGTTATTTGAGGGGAACTCTGAAATGCATATGCACAAATCACAAAACAAACAAAATGGACAATGGACAGACAGTTTTGTTTGTTTTGAGAGTTCCGCCAAGACACCAAAAAGATATGATTGACGTAAAAAATATGATTTATGACTAGGAGATAGCCAGTTGATTTTTTTTTCTTATATCAAGTGAGAAATGACCAATATAAGGGGGAGCAGTTAAAATAAATAAATATATATATATATATATATATATATATATATATTTAATTATTTATTTTAACTGCTCCCCCGTATATTGGTCATATATATAGGGTTTTTTTTATTATTATTATTTTATATCTTAGAAATATCTTATAAATAAAAATTGCATTTTTTACTGCTAATCTTCCTTTCTACTCTGTTGGTTACTGACTTGATTTGTGATACAAATGGCAGGAAGAGGCACCTCTCAGTGTACTCCAAAATTTATACATAATATTGTACACTGTATATACACTGCAATACACTGTGTGACCCATTTCCGTGCCCTTTTAAATCGCCTGAATCATTTTTGCCATGAGCAAAAATTTTCAGAAACAAATTGCCATATGGATAAATACCAAATCAACTAACTGATTTTTAAAAAAATATTTTTAGGAATAGATTTGGTTGTACTGAATTTTTTTAGCAAGCACTAGTCTAATGAGCACTAATTAGGACTGTAAAACAATTAAGTGGGTGGAAATCAAAAAGTGAAAAAATAATGCAGGCTAGCCACGGATTCCTGGGTCACTTCCCAATCCAATCACACAAAGAACAAGAAATATTTCATAAAAATTCCTATGAACTTATCAGGGTTTAGGGATTGGTCTGGCTATCTATGCATGATATAATAATTACTTCTAAAATATTTACCAAACAATTTAGCCTGAAAAGCATCTGGCAAACAGATTTATTTTATATATATATATATATTTCTGCTGTCTGAAGTGTAACTATCTAGTAGCCTTAGCAACTAACCTTCTTTACATTTTATAATCATTACGTTCGCATCTCAAAGGTTTACTTACAATTCTAAGACTTATTAGGGGTCTTTCACTAAATTTGAAATTGACCAACAAATTTAAACATGTAGATCAGGGGTGCCCTAATGGTAGATCACCAGATGTTTTAAAACCACAGTTTTCACAATGCTTTGGAATTCTAAAGGCATTCTAAAGGCATGCAAAGCATCATGGGAGTTGTAGCTCTACAACATCTACGGATCTACCTTTTTGGCATCCCCTGATGTAGATTACATTAGCCACATTGAATAAAATCTCAATCACCATCTTTATGCATCTAATTTATTTTGTAGTAAGAAATTAAATTCCAAAAAGAGCCTCGGTTAGCGCATAGTCTTGCTGCCTCCTAAATAGAATATTATCTATAAAATATGCAGATAAACGGATAAAAACAGGTTTAACTATATCCATCTATGCATTTAATATGTAGGCACATTTTGAGTGAAACACTAAACGAGCCCATTACTGTACTTCAAACCCATATATATAACAAAGTATCTACTTCCAACACATTTGCACATGCACACCTATAATAAGGTTTCTGATTTCAAGAAAACTCAATCTGTACATTTTCTTACAAGTTTCTTTGCAAACATATCATATTTGCTCTGTAGTAGCTCTAAAATGACACAATATTAAACTTAAAGTCACAACCATGTCTTCCAGCAAACATCTGTGATTGTTGCACGTCAATGTTACTGGATGCTTCAGTATGGCCTCATGCAGACCCTAAAGTTGGGGTTAAAATATTACCTGTTATGATAAAACAATAATGTAAATTCATAAGTTAAAGGTGTGTTGGGCCACTTATTCTTTGGAATTTGTTACTAGATGCTAGCATAATTTATGCTAATTATAAGATTTAAAGGTAAGCATTAGTGTTTTAATAATTGCATGAAAAATTATGAGTCAAAATGGAGTGCATGTATATGACGGATTAAAATAAAAAATATATTTTAAATGTATGTAATTCATGTATGTAATTTAGATATTACTGAACACAAGTCTATACTATGGAAACAGTTCCAAGGTGCATTCATTGGTTTACAGGTTTGTTGGATTGAGAAGGTTTTACAATTTTTGTGAAACGTAGGCCAAAATTCAATAGTCCTCATTTACATTGAAATTCAAATTCTTCACACTTAGATTATGTGAGTGCACCTTTCTCTGGATTTAGATGGGCCCACAACCTATCTTTACATTTTGTTAAAGTCTAATAACACCTTGCCCCAAACCAGCATCGCCGAAAGTGAATGTAAACAAAATGGGGATTCCATATGAGATGAAAATGTTTTTGCTAATGTGCCAATTGTTGCTGGTATTTCATTTCAGTGCCTTAAACCGTCCCTTTAAATAAATTAAATGTCTATATGACTTTGTTTAGAATATTAAATTATGCTGATCTTGATTATGTCTGATCAGCTACAGTTTTTCTTTCTTTGTTACAAGAAGTTGCCAATTTCTGCTTTTGGATTCAAAGGTAGGAATGAAGTAAGATTATGGACAGAAATATATCCTAATTATTACATTCCTTTCATTCTAAATTATCAGCATGAACAGCTTGCAGCATGCTAACCACGGGAATCGTTTACTTTGATCTAAAAATTATAAAACACATAACATAAAGTCTGCTTTTGTTTTTCCAATTTCTTTGCACTCTGGTACGTGGAGCAGTATGGAATACTTTAATTAATTTTCTTTTGGCCTGAAGACTGCTGCATGACAAATTTATTTTTTTCATTCTGATGGTGTTTCAATGAGTGTCACCAATATTAAAAAAGAAAATTAACTTTAATAGAAATTGCCAATTTCAATTTTGATTGTGATCAAGTAGGAGTTTTTAAAAGCAGGCGTTTGGTTGTCGAGTATAAATTGGTGAGCCAGCCACCATCAAACACTACAGCTCTAAACACGGGGAGAAAGTTTTCAGGTTTTTCTTGAGGATGAAAATATGTCATTCAGTAGCAAATATATATTGTTAAATGAAACTATTTCCCATCAAATAAACATACTATACGATATGACTTAAAGTGACACTGTAAGCACCATAACTGCTTCATCTCATTGAAGTGGTTAGAGTGCCCTGAGTCCCTTGATGCTGTCCTTCCATTCAGCATTAAAGCATGTTTAATCTTACTGAAAAACAAGAGTTCCCAGTATTCCTTCCCTTCTGTGCCACTTGAGATGCCTGAACAGCAGTGGGCAGCTGTGATTGGCTGAGAATGTCCGCACTCAGTCTGTTACAGTGTCATTGCAGGTATGAGTTGGCTACTTTGAGCTGTGTAATCTCTGCCTAATTAATACCTCCAGTGGGGGTGGCACTGTGGAAAGCCAGGAAGCATCATCCAGTGTTAAACTGCTCAAAAATGGAGTGGAGGGATAATGACGGGGGACTCCCGGCACTATAACCAGTTGAACAGTTATAATGCCTACAGAGTCTGTTTAACTGATGACTGTATAAACCACCAGCCCAGTAATCTTCATGTCATCAATTTCTGGTTCGTAGCAAAGATTCCAAATATGTAAGGAATTACTCCTGTGCACATTTTCCATAGAATTGTTTCATTTGGCAACATATTAGAACAAAAGTAGTGATCTAAACGTAAAGAAATATCACTTGCCATATTTTTTTACCACCGAGATAAGAGATATGATGGAAAATGTATAGCTACATTTAAATAATGATCCCGAATTTTATGATCATGTTTAGATCAATTCCATATAAACTTGCACATATTTTTATCATCAACATCTACCTGATCAAACTTTTTTCTTCTTGGGATTTCCATCCACTGTACTAATTGATTAGCCGTAATGCTGTTTATGAAGTGATTTCCTGCCGTGTAAACATAATGAAATGGGAGTTCGTGTAAAGTTCTTTATAAAATGTATTTATTTTACATTTTATATTTTTTTCCTTGACATTGCTTTTATGATTTCATTATGTGGGAATGTAATCATATTTTCTACATTTGCCAATATTTACACTAACAATGTTATTTTATTTCTGAAACGCAGGTCTTTGTCCTTTACACTAATTTCTTTTAACCAGTTTTTCTGTTTTTTATATAGTTAAAACACTGACATATTTTTTATAATTGTTTTGCATAACTTGCAAGCATGGTGAAAGTTTCTATAGGAATCAGTCTGAATAGTTACCAAATGTATTTTATACAACTGCATTATGTAGGTTACATTATCTAACTGTGTATCTCCAGTTGTCGATGGTCTGTGCTTTCTAGAAAGATAATGTAGACAATGATAAACAAAGAATTTTGGCAAATTGTAACACTTGAAGGGGGTCTAAACCTGGATTTTCTTTGCTCTATTAATCAAATTTAACATCACTATAAAATAGTTTTGAGACTTTGTCTCATGGTTTTAGGTGTTTCATTGATATAATGAAGAAATTGCTAATGTTATGTCTTATATACATGAGTAGGTTTAACAACCAATAATTTCCCCATGTCGTGTTATTATCACAATACTTCCTTAAACACTACCAGGGTTACTTACTAAAGTCTGAATGACTCTGTAATGAATGGGGCAAAACCATTTAGCTGCAAATTGGGCCACTAAGACTGCAAAATCTGGACATTTTTCATAGAATTGAACAATATTAGGATTTTGCAAAATGAGCCTACATTTTTCGGTATTTCAGCTGGTGAGTGCTACTAATTAAATTTGCTAAACTCAGTGTGCGTTTCCCAACTCCCAAAAGCTCTTAATATTATAATACCTGGAGGGACCTAGCACAGCAGAAGGGACCTAATCATCAATTGGTCCACTTCCTCCACACCTATGTGCTTCTGGTAGAGTGGTATTTAATGTGATAAGGGGAGTGCACGTGTTATGGTCCACCAAAACCACAACCCTAAGTTAGGGTCAATCGCTCCCACACAAACTGGCTAGGGTTCCCCAAGCCCCTAACCACCCACTCCAACAAAAAATGCACTACCTGCCCCTCACCCTAATAATAGTGAGGGGCAGCAATAAATATAATACCTTTAAGAGAAATAAATTATGCTTACTTTTTAAAGTCTTTATACTTAACTTCAGTACGTAAAAAGCCCCACCCCCCAAAAAAAAAAAATTATATCCCAACCATACTAATGAAAGTAAAAAGAGGGACCACATCGCAAAAATAAAGACAAAAAAAAAAAAAAAAAAGTAATCGAGAAAGATTAGGTTTCAAGGCAGGAAATGCCTTTATAAAGACTTTCCTATGCTTTGTAATCTAAGTAGACCACTCTAATTGGTTGGTTTGTAAGTCTGAAGACCACTCTAATTGGTTGGTTTGTAAGTCTGAAGTCAATCTGATACCCATGAGTTGGAAGATAGACAATAGTATGCCTACCACCCATTGATTATTGACTAGTTCCCACCCACTTTGGGGGACATTAGGTTTCTCCACCCCGTGTTATAATATTAATAGCTCCTACCCACCGGCTATGGATAGGGGCTGAGGCGACACTAGATACCCCCATTTAAAAAGTAACCCACACCTGCTGACCATGGGTTAAAGATGGGTAAAAGATTAGGATGTCCTGTCCATTTTTATTTTTATTTTATAGCCCACCACCTGCTGACCACAGGTTATTTATTTAATAATTTACTTATCTACCGTTTTTAATGTGGTGGCTGACTAGAAACTGCTGGCCATCAACCACATAATTAACACATGCAATGACGTATTTGTCCACTGGCTGCTAGCTCTGCCAGCGGGTAACTTGTATTTGAAATAATAATTTGCTTGCAAAAAGCAAGTGATGATAAATGATAATTTGCAAACGTGCATCCTGCTCAAAGCCTGCTCAGTGCCAAATGAGTTTATTATCAAGGCTTTGCACAAATTTCAAATTCTATACTCTGTATAGGATTCAGATGAAAAAAACCCCACTGATTTTAAATCGGAGACTGAACATTTCCCACCGAATGACACAGATTAGGCTGAATCAACCGAATTCCACCTAAAACTGGCATTAGTTAATACGAGTACTGCCATTCCAGTTGGAATTTTGCAATTTTCTCAGAATTGTGTCCTTTAGGACAAAATTAGGTGTTTAGTGAATAACCCTATAACACTTTTCAATTACTGGGTTAGGTTCGCCCAGATAAAGCATGGATTAATTTATAGAAATATTAATTAATATTATTATCACCTCAGTGTATTCATTTTGTACATGCTTACACAACGTTTACCAGATAACATCTCCGTATTCATTGCATTTTTTAGTCTATATCAGTGAACTAAACTGTAAGTAATTGGGAATTTAAATGGACACTATATAGTCACCAGAACCACTACAGCTTAATGTAGTGATTCTGGTGTCTATAGCATATCTCTGCAGTCTTAGCACTGTAAACAGTGCCTTTTCACGGAAAAGGCACTGTTTAAATTGTTGCCCAGTAACTCCTTTAGTGATAGTCTCTCAGACAGCCACTAGAGGTGCTTCCTGGGTCAGTGCTCTACACTGTGCAGCACTGGCATTCAGCGTCTCCATGGAGGAAACTTTGGACACTCCCCATAGAGATCCATTCATTCAATACAAAATCAAAACCAAAATGCCCACATTGAAAATACGGGTGACTATATTAGGTGACCCTGTTAGAATTTTAATTAATCTATTTGTTATTGTCATTATGGACCACTGACCGATAACAATATAAAAGAGTATATAAAGTGATAGCTGCGATTGATATCGGAAACTTAGTACAATAACCTATCTCGGACTTATGAACTGTAACATCGAAAATAAGGATTGGTTTAGACAAAATATTATATGTGGTTTATCTAAAGTGGTAAAAACTAGACCTACTGGTTAAAAATCATGTTACAACAGTACCTAAATTATCCCCTTAAGGACACAACTTGTGCAATAAAAGGGAATCATGACGGAATATTTCCGTCATGTGTCCCTAAAGGGGTTAAACCATAAAACTGAAAAATTCTACAAACAAACTGAGTAATGTTTTTTATTGTAAGTATTATTAAACAAGAGGACGGCTCTTCCCTTGAAATAGAAACATGCATACGTGGAATGGGCATTTTTTTGGCCAGTCGTCTGTTGTTCGATTTTAAGTCTTCTCAACCAGATACAGCCTTTCAGTCCAACAACAGCAACCCGGCCACCGGATGATCACGCCTCTATGATGTTACAAAATGTCAGCTTGTTTAATGATGTATGAACAATTTAATAAAAAAGTAACAATGTATTACTGTGGACTCCAGGTGGTGCCATATCTAACTTGTATGCTATGTTGATTGCCCGTTTCAAGATGTTTCCGGAAGTTAAAGAAAAAGGAATGGCAGCAATTCCCAGACTGATTGCCTTCGCATCAGAGCATGTATGTCATCTATTTTATTTTATTCTTACCTTATAGCCTATTACCTTTCTAAACAAATACACAACATTTGTAATGGGTAAGCAATTGTTCATACTCTGCTTAAATTACACCGGCCAATTAGTCTTTATTGTGTTAAACATGATCTTTGTGGAGTCAGACTTGTAAATTATTAATGGATAAGATAACCTGCTTTGTCCCTTTGAAGGGTTGCTCCAAGGACCATGACCACTTTATTGATTTGAATTAGTCATGGTGCCGAGAGTGGCTTTGAAATCCTGCACATTTGGAAATTAATCTCACCTTTGGACACATCAGTCTTGTGCAAAATTGACATGTGACACCAGCAACCACAGCACGCTGGCGCCAGACAGCCAATGGTTGCATGTGACCCTCAGTACCGCCCCTGTCCTCCCTTCAGTCCACCCTCCCTGAGTGCCTCCCCCTCTAGCAATGGGGAGTGACATTAGGCAAGGAGGATAAGACTTAGGGGGAAACTGGCCTCAGCAATAGTAAAGAGGTAACTTATGAGCATTATACGAATATAAAATTTTATCCAGCACTCCTTCCGTAGAGATAGAAAGTCTCCTTTTTTCCCAGCATATGAACCAGCAATGTCTTGACTAAGTTGTGATCTTTATTAAGATCAATTAAAACCGCAGGTTGCTTGAAAACATCTGTCTGATAAAGGGGACTTTCAATAATTCTACTCCACGGGGCAGCTATGTACATTCTTGGCCAGTTGGCCTGTTACAGCAGGACGTCGATGGTGAAGATTGCTGTAGATTCCAAATATCTGAATGTTTAATAAATACTGGCCATTACAGAGAGAGAACCAGTAGAATTCTAGTAAAATTACAAATTGCTTGCAAAATACATAATAATAATAACCCAATAAACAAATTACATCTAGGTTTCCGCATTTATATCAACATTGTAGCTCTTTGTCGGTTTGTAACTTCAATATTACGAACCTGACTATTTCCTGACATTAAGGGAGAGTCGTTTCCTATTACACAGTGAAATTGACCTATTTGGAAAGTGGAGTTCTTTCTTATCGTAAATCAAAGTGAGATTGACACTTAAAAAAGTACATTTTCAACAGAATGGTGGCTGAACCAAAAGTCTAAATGCACTCATAATCACGGTGTTCTTGCAGTACCAAAGAACAGTGCCTCTGTGCTGACCTCAATTGCTACATTTCCACTTGATTAGCCTGAAACATTCAGTCTCTTTCCGGATTATGCAAATTCTAAATTAGACCAATTACTTCTAGCCGTCAGTGAAGAGGTTAGATTGAGAGTACGCAAGTTCACTAATGTATGATGATAATTTCGACATCCCTATCCCAGTGGCACATATATCAAGCTAACATTGAGTACTATTTCTGGGAAAGGCACGGTCCTATATAAAGAATAATCACCATGGAAACCATTAAAGTAACAAGATGTCCAGACTTGTTAAATCTGTCCCTTAGCATGTAAATGATGTTAACCATTTATGAAAATATAAAAACTACGTAAAAAATTAAATTAAGAAGTATGTTAAATATAATAAGTTGCTATTATAAACAGTAAGGTTTCCCACTACAACATGTTTAATTAAAGGTTCACCCTATTTATTGAATAGAAATTTTCACATTGATTTTCAATGGAGGAAGAGAACCCAGGACTAATTGTCGTCATCTAGGGGTTTGCAAAGTAACTTTACCGCAAGATTCTATTTTTTCAGCTATTTTTACTTATTAATTATCCTGCCTAATTAGCTCAATTATTGCAAGAGGCAATTAAATTGTGTCACTCCTGCTACATCACCGGTCGTGAAGGGATTCATGATATTGTAATATTTTCCACTGCAACATTTGCAACATATTTCCTGTTTTAAACACTAACGCTTGCTGAAACAATGCAATGTCAGCTGCACCCACTTCCTGCTAAGATGTAGAACGAGAAGTCAAGTGCTATTAAAAGTGTGACTGGCTGATCACAGCTTGTGTGGGCAATTGTACAATAAACAAGACCCTCTAACAACTTCTTTGACAGATCAGTCATTATTTTTAGAAGAAAAAAGAAAAATCTTTTATAGAGTATTTTAACGGGTGGTATACAATATGCACTGCCTAATATTTATCGAGAAAAATATCAGCAGACAATTGTAACAATTTTGTAGAACTATTAGAAAAACAACATTATATTAACCGCAAAAAAAAAAAAATTATTTGCGGTTATATATGTTTGAAAATGAAAGCTAATTTAAGAGTGCCAAGATGTTTAAATTCAGGCTAACCAAAAAATGATTCTGCAGATATCTTCTGACCATGAATTCTGCATTTTTTGTGTTATAATTGACTTGTTTTAAAGTGAAACTATGTATTAAAATCATGCCTATTTTTAAAAGCATCATAAAAGATTAAAAAAAAAGTAAAACAAACACTAAAAAGTGAAATGAAAATACACACCTTCAAAAATAATTTTAATGCACATTTTAGTAGAACAGTCTGCATCCCCTTCTTCGTGGGAAAGATACATTTATCCCCTAGACCTGTGTTGGGCAGGAATTAATGGGATACATAAGCAGTTTACTACCAAGAGCAGTTCCATTCCTCACATATGATGAGAAGAACTGCTCTGCATGTTTATAGCAGTTCTACCACAACTACTGTCAGTTTACACATTACTCAGCGCACAGTTTAGTAAACTGAACTATGTGCACACACACAAGTTGAGGATAACTGGTGCCCCATGACACGTCGAATTCATACCAGAGCCGATCCTGGGTGAGTGCAGAGCGCTCAGGTGTTCTGTAGATAGGTGGAGTGTGCAGCACTAGGCTCCATCCCTTGTGTAGGCTACGCCCCGTGTCACACAGGAAAGGCCGTGAGGGGTCGTGGCCTAATGAGAGCAGCGGAGCCTAGAGCCGTCTGCATCCACCTCGGATGGGCTCTGATTGATACCATCCAACAGAATTGCACAAAAAAAAAGATAATTTTTTTTTTAGGATTTGAAATTCAGTTTGAATTTACTTTGAATTCCTGACAATTTGGTTGGCAAATAATTCAATTGTATGTAACAAAAGTTTACTTTATGCCCCCCTACATGGCTTGCCCCTCTTAGTAGTAAATTCTTTATCATAACTGTATCCATCACCATCCTTTTCCTTCGGCCTGAAGAAACAACAGCAGTTCCACTAAGCAATAAGAATGTTCCTTTAAAACGCTTACAATGAAAAGGCTGTCATATGGCAAAACCAGCGATGACAAAAAAATTTGTAGAGTAATTTAATAACATGTCACTCATAAGAGACAATGGCAATTCTTGTTCAATCAATTCACAGTTAAATACTCTACAGTAGAATTCTATTAAATGCTATCAATTGATACAACCTATAATTACATACGTTCCTTTTCAGAGTCACTTTTCTGTAAAGAAGGGAGCCGCAGCCTTGGGGATTGGCACTGACAGTGTGATCCTTATCAAATGCGATGAAAGGTAGGAAAAAAAGCAGAAAGGGTAATTTAACATCGAACAAATTGGGTGTGAGTCAATCAACCGATTTAGGTCACAGAGAGACGAGATACTGAACTGAATGAACAGTCACAAAATGTATTCCTTTATCGAAATATACAACAAATGATGGAATGACCTCAATTCATTTTCAACAAAACACTGTGTACATAAATGGATTTAGTGATGATGCACAGGGATAGATAACAATACATCACAGATAAAGCCTGGACATCTGCTTACATTGTCTTTGTCTGTTATAGCAGTTTAACACTTTTTTTAACTGTGAGTGATAAATCGCAAACTTTTTATTTTCTTTGTGGACTGAGTAAGAGATTGAGAGACAGAGAGACGGAGCAACAGATAGTTTCACGGACAACCAGAAAGACAGACAGACAGCTGCGTTGTTTGAGAAAAAGCAGAGGACCCTTTACTGTACAATTCAACATAAAGTTACAGCTTGCACTGATTTTATTCTAGAAATGAAGAGTTGAAGAATGAATAGTAATATATCAGTGAATGCCAACAGTGACAGCTATAACATGTACGTAGTCAGTCTAGCACAGACGTTATCCTTTGAATATATTCTTCATTAACAAGCCTTGGGCACAATGTCAGGGATGGTCTGGCTTGGTATGCAGTTGCCCCAGGGATGCTCTGATTTAAAGCATTTTGGGTCACCAGCATCTATTTTTTTAACTTCTAGAACTCAGTATAGCCAAGAGCAGTTTGTAGGATAACATTGCAATGACACACTAGGAATGGTTGACTGACTTGCCTTTAGTAAATATTTGAGTAAGAGATAATTTTCCCAACATCCTTGTTTTATACATTGTAGAGTTCATTGAAAAATTGGTGCTACTCAAGCTTAGTTGATGGAACAATCAAAAACCAACAGAACAGTGACGATAGCCTTTTGTTGAACTCAAGGCTTTGTGTCTAGAGAATCATTTGCAATAAATAACACTTTGAAAGGAATAAACAATTTATAGTTATTTGTGTTGATTAAGCCCTCCATAGACATAACAAGTAGTAGAAATAAATATATAAAAATAATAAAAATAATGGAAAAGCATTCTTGTGCAATATTGGATGGCAACATGACGGAGAACATGTTAGATTGTTTAAATGTCCATGAACCAGATTGGTTTACAAATGTATAATACAATAATAGGATTGATCATTATGCGGATATGTATGTTTATCCTATAAAACAGAGTATATAAATGATCGTTCTAGCAATGTACATGTAAAATATATTTAAAGCAATATTCTACTTTAATATGTGTGTGGGTTTAATGGAATGTGGGTTTAATCTAAATCTAGTTTATATTTCTTGTTCAATTGAGTGTTTTAATCAAGATATTATAAAATCAATTGAAAAAAGATAATCAATTGTTTTTTTTTTTTTAAATCTGGCAAGCCTCCCTCAGTGTGGATACACAAGGGACTTTAAAAAGAATTTGAAAATACAAATTAATATTTACATAAAGCAGTGGATGCAGGTCCACCTATTCAGTGAATGAATACTTCTGGGTACTTTTTCCCACTCGAACGAGTATGGGGGAAGGGCAATGGGATTTTAATGATATGTTTTGTTTTTTTACTTGACGCTATAACAGTTCACTTTGGCTTCAAAAATCTGTTCATTACCTTGTGATACGTATACATCATACACTAATGAAATACAGTGCATCAATAAAATCAGTTAAACAAACAAAAAAAAAGACTAATTATTTTTTCCCAACTAAGTAAGTAGACATAACTTGAGATTTATGTGAGATTTGTGTATGAATGAAGAACAAGACCTCAGTGGAGTCAATTAGCCAATTTCAGTGAAAACAACTAAATTACACAGATTATGATAAAAAAAAGAGTTTATGCGATCTTTCACTATGTCAATTTCTTACTCTGGGATATTTACCATAATATTTCTGTTTTAGGGGGAAAATGATGCCAACAGACCTTGAACGACGAATAATTGAAGTCAAGCAAAAGGTACACTATTTGTTCTCAATGCAGATAATTAGATCTGAGCAAACTGTATATTATTCCAGCTAGTCTCAAACTGTCAGAAACATTTCTTCCTATGAACTTCGAACCTTTAAACAGACAATCAGAATTAAGAGTAAACAAGTCCGTGGATCAAATAGAAGTGCATCCAAATATATATATGATGAGTTTCGGTCTCTGCTTACAGCAATATTAACAATTTTTTTCCATAAACATCTCATTTATTAGACAAACATACAATGCAAGATATAAACACCTGGTATGAAAGTTAGCAACATTCAGAACGGAAAGAGACATCTAAGTACATGATCCTATAAACAATTTAGAATGTTTACAAACATATTAATATAAGATAAACTGACCAAGGTCAGCATAATCCAAATTACAAAATCAGTAAACAACATGAAAAGTAAATCAAGATAGGACTTTGTAAAGACTATGTAAAAGGTAAAGTGTCCCAACACAATACATCTATGACAATATAGTGAAATTGATAGAGGATATATGAAAAAATGTAAACCGAGTGATACAAGTGATTTAATTCAGTCCAAGATGACTGTAACATAAGGGAGCAGTAGATAGGGAGTTGGGAGGTCTACAAGTCCCATTATAAACAGGGAACTAGCACATCAAGGCAGTATTGTGGTATAAGGCAAGGTATCTTAAAATTTCATAGGCTATGCCCACAACAACAACAACAAAAAACACAACTATAAATATATGAGGGTCAAGACTGCAGTGTCAGGCAAGATGGGTGATGAAGAATTTGGGTGAAGATTTGTTAATGTAAATGACTGATTTTTTTCTAAAAAGTTGGTCAATCCTGAAATAACATTATGGAAAAAAACTGTCAAAGTGGAATTTCCTTCGTTTCAATGTCCTGCAAGGATGGTGGGTCTATCTACTAGGTTGAAGTTGAGTGGTTGTGGTTTTGCCTTTTCTGTGTGATTTTTGGCATCCAGGTGGTGAGCGCACTTGGTTTGCAGCTGAAGTGGTCACCTAGCTACAAGGTTTGGGCAGCTACAATTGAAAAGTGTCGAGGAGAATAAAGGTTGACATAGATTCTGGCATTCCAAAGAGTTATAAAATATTTCTTCTACTCCAGTTCTCAAGACCATCCATCTTGTATATGAACAAGGTATTGAGTAGTTTATTCGCAATTTTTTCGTTTTATTTGAATGGATTTCTTATAGAGTCAATTATGCTCAATCCCTAATTTATCAGAGTTGGCAATCAAACAGTGGAAATAAAATCTGAGAGACTTATTCTGCCATCGAGATGGCTTGATGTGATGAGATAAGGGCATTCTCTGCCTCCAAGTTCAAAGGCAAGGAGTGAGCATGATATGTAGTAGGTTGAGATATAAAGTTTAGACCTTTTATTAGTTTGAGATGTTTGGCAATGGTTATTTGTCAATAAACATATCCATTTTGGTTACAGAGAACTAAGATTGAGTTCCCATGGTCATATAAATAAAGATCAATCATATGCAACAGTGTACTATAACTGAAAATTCTGGAAGTAGCATGAGATCAGAGACCACATAATGAGGCAGTAGGACAGGAAAATATGGAATTAGTAGAAGGAAGTGGGAGAAAGAAAATATATTTTTTGGAACAATTAGGCCATACTGCATGGATGACCGTAATGGGAGAGATTGTTTTATTGTCAGGAAAGGGGCAACATCATTTTTAATCTGGATGTATATGATGTACACCAATAGAGTGGTGGTTGGAGAAAGAAGTGTGTGAAAGGAAATAAATAATTAAATTATATCTGCTGCCACTGCTGCCACTGCTGCACACACAAACAATAATTCTCACTGTATACGTACACTGACACACACACACACACAGACATAGTATGCTCACACACACTGCTATACACACAGACAATAATTCTGACTGTATCCATACACTGACACACACACACTGCTATACACACAGACAATTATTCTCACTGTATACATACACTGACACACACACACAGAGACATAATACACACACACACACACACACTGCTATACACACAGACAATAATTCTCACTGTATACATACACTGACACACACACAGTATGCACACAATGACACACACTGCTATATATAGTATATACAACACACACTTCTGCACACACACTCAGGCACAGTATACATACACTGACATATTCACACAAACATCCAGACACAGTTTACACATGCTATTCACACATAGAATACACACTGCACACCTGTACTACTCAGAAATACACACTGCACACATGCACTACTCAGAAACAGTATATACACACACACATATACACACTGATACAAAAAGCAATACTACATACACAGTACTTAGTCCATAGTACACACACAGATATACTACAAACACAAGACACATACGCACTGCATTCAGGATGGCAGGCTCCTTAGTCCAGTCTCCACAAACCGCAGTGCAATCCCTCTATATAGCAAAAACAAACTGTAAGTAGGTTTGTTTTTTGTGATATAATGATTTTCCACTTCCAGTGTATTTTGTTTCTGTTGTGTCTCTCCCTGTGATGTTACATCCTGTGATGTCACTTATACAAAATTAATTTCAGAAAATTAGCATGGCCTGTATTTTTTTACTTCTAAGAAAGGTGGAAGCCTTAGGACTAGTAGACAATTCTATATCTCCAACATATTTTTTTTTTTCCCCAATCACTTGGGTATATCGTTGTACTGTTGCTATCATAATGTTGAAGAGCCTGGTCTACACTGTCAAATGTCCGTAGGGCAATGTTAGTTTAAGAACACAAGATATTTCTTTTATTTAGAATGTATCTTTTGGTTTATTAACAGGGATTTGTTCCATTCTTTGTGAGTGCTACAGCCGGAACAACTGTATACGGTGCATTTGATCCACTAATAGCTATTGCAGATGTCTGTAAAAAGTATAAAGTCTGGATGCATGTTGATGTGAGTATTCTCTTTACTATATTATACGGAACATTTTTAATAATGCATACTCAGCTATTATTTTATTTGCTCTTTAAAAGGCTGAGACTAAATGTTTTTATTCTAGGATACTACTGCCATAATATTTTTTTTTTTTTAATGTTTTATCTGGTTGTGCAAACAAAAATGCCATTGGAAATCATTATCGATGAACAAAGAAATTAAGGTTCATGCAGAAAATAAAATTTAAAAAATCGTTGATTTACAATTACAAATCAATAATGACATTTAGTGTAGTAAATAGAATACATTTTGAAGTCAGCAGAAAAATCCATGATATTTGCTCGCAAATTGACTTGGTCGACAGGAATATTATCTTGCCATAAATGCAACTTCGCACTAGAAAGTGATTTACACCTTTACCCCCTTATTGCTGTTAGGAAGTCCCATGCCCTCCTACACAAAGTGTGCTTAAATGCCTGCAGGACAGCATGGAAAGCCTGGCAGATTTTGAGTGAGCATCGATGCCTGGCACTGCCCTTAGTGTGCTGGGGCCATTTTTAGTGGCCCCTGACTTATTGATGAGCTGTTTAGTAGCTCTTTAAATAGGCATTTACATGTCTTCAAATAGATTGTGATCTGAGCTTTGTGCAGGGCTGAAAGTTAGTGTTGCACAGAGCCCTTTAAACATATTCATAAAATCACAGTTGAGTGATCGCTCTCAGCTGTGGTTTCTCTGGGCTGCCGGCTGCTTTGGGGAGGCCCTTCAGCACCCGAATAGGCCCTGGCAGGGTCTCCCAGCCTGTCCCCAGCTGATTGTGACCAGTATTGGGCTTTGCCAGCTGCCCAGCACCTATAGCTACATAATTGGCTGGGAAACAAGGCTCCAATCATAATTACACTGAGTGTAATTATTAAAATGACCAGTAGATGGTGGTATCAGATCACCATCTACTGTGTTAAATAGTAAAATTAATTTTTGCTATCAGAATTTATACTAGCAGTGGGTTACCTTACGGTTATGGCTGGAGGTAGTGGTGGGGTTATGGTTAGGGTAGGGTTAGAGTTAGGTTTATGGGTAAGAGTAGGGTAGGATTAGAGTTAGTGTTAGGGTAGGGTTATGGTTAGGGTTAATGTAGGGCTAGGGTAAAGTAAAGGTTAATTCTGGGTATGGGTTAATGTTCTTTCATGGTGTAGGGTTGAGGTTAGAGTAGGTATATGGATATAGTTAGTGTAAGAGTTTTGTATAGGGTATGGTATAGCATTAGTGTGAGGGTTTGTAGAGGGTTAGCGTTAACTATTAAAAATGTGTTTAGATCCTAAACATATTAGGTATTTAACAATCAGGACTGCTATATGAATCTATTTTTAGATCTTTTTAATTAGTTGCATTGGATGTGTAAAAATTATTATAGGCAAAAACGTGGACAAGAAAAATCAAATGTTTTCCCATTGTATTCACATATAATGTTGTGCTATGTATATATAGAATGTTAAATGAAAGCCCTTTGTGTGCTTTAAAAAAAAAAAAAAATATATATATATATATATATATATATATATATATATAATATGTATGGGGCCACTTGAAGAGAAACCTTAAATCACAGTGAAACAAACCTACAGCTCAAATTCAAGGTTTTGGTTCTAAACATGGACAAATGCCTCTGTTGTTAAGGGGTTAAATTATAGCACCAAACAGCAACACTGTGTAACTTGCAGTGCCACAAATTCTGCCCACTGAGACTTTATTCCTGGTCTCACTAGGAGTAGAATGTACGTCCTCATTCCCCCAACCCCACAAATAACCATAAAACAGCAAAAACATTCAGGAAATAGCAAATGTCATTGTGGCTATTATGATTTACTAGAGAATAATTTGTCTAAAGTTATACAATTTGATATAAAGTTACACTTGTGAGCATATAGAATTTTACACGTGAAGTTTTCCTCTACATCAAATTTTGGACTATAGTTTAGTATTAAGCATGAACATATCTCAGTATATATATATATTATTTGTGAAAGGGGCAAATAGCCGTGTATGGAGTAAGGTTCAAGCGTAGGATAGTATAAAGGGAGCAAGTCGGTTGTGGTGTGCCGAGACCGACGATAGGTCTGTAAATAAAGAGGGCTCACCAAGGAGTAAGAAAGTAAAGTAAATGGAAAAAGAAAGTGTTGAAATGAGGAGTGGGTGGGAGGGTCATTCTGATGCTGACCTCAAGCGATATGGAGTCAGGTAAGGGGTGTCCCTTATATAGGGAGTGAATTAATTTAAGCCCCTCCCACAAATACAGGCCAAATGGCCTTAATACATATATTTTATATTATATGTTGTGCTTAACAGTTTAAATGAATATATGTGTGGGAAACCAATCTTTTTTGCAGGCTTCCCCAAACTCCGGCCCTCCAGATGTTGCTGAACTACAACTCCCATGATTCTCAGCCTATCTATTTCATTCATGGAATCATGGGAGTTGTAGTTCAGCAACATCGGGCCGGAGTTTGAGGTAGCCTGGCTTATAGCATAATGAACACACATACAATCTACAGCTCTCAGTCTCAACCCAATAGAACCTCCCAGACTATATGCTACAATTACAAGCAGTTAGTAATAGAAAGAAGTACAAAAAATATATTTTAATTGTATTATTAAAAGGAGTATTTGTTCAGATAACATTTCATTTCAACCTATTAATATTACTCTAATCCAGTCCATAAATAACGCAGGTATTTAATCTCTTTTTTTCTTAACATCGATTCCCATTGATTTGTGTTTTGACGGGAGATTTAACTAATAATTGTCTTATGTGGTTTTTCAGTCCTTTGCTATTTATGTTTTCGAAGTGGTTGCCTGGGTTTACTAAATTATATTAAGTATTTCAAGAATGACTAGCTCATAGAGGGATACATTGTATGTACTGAAAGGAGTGTGGTAGCATATAGTCTATATACAATAAGCGTTTGAAAGTTGTTCTGGTAATTGACATATCTTAAGGGTCAGTCTTGGATAAGATATAGCTGTTATGTGAAGTAATGTTTTTACCACTGAAATGTGTATTTTCCCCTTTACCAGGCAGCATGGGGCGGTGGACTGCTAATGTCTAAGAAACACCGATGGAAATTAAACGGTGTTGATAGGTATGGACCATATACATTTAAATACGAAACACATTGTGATGCATACAACATTAGTGGATAATTAACACATGTCCATTTCGAAAACTATTTAAATTACTTCATGTGACATTTCACTCATTTTACAATTTTCATTAAGATTCTGTATCACTATATTCACGTCAGTCCTCAGTTCTCAAAGCATATCATTTATTTGTCGTTAGTGGGTAAATATGAACAGCTACCAGATATAAACGAATATACATGAAAATACTGTAAGACAATTCTAAATGTCTTAGGATATAAATTAAAGGACCACTATAGGCACCCAGACCACTTCAGCTTAATGAAGTGGTCTGGGTGCCAGGTCCAGCTAGGATTAACCCTTTCTTCTATAAACATAGCAGTTTCAGAGAATAAGGGTTAATCCAGCCTCTAGTGGCTGTCTCATTGAAAGCCGCTAGAGGCGCTTCCGCGCTTCTCACTGTGATTTTCACAGTGAGAAGATGCCAGCGTCCATAGGAAAGCATTGAGAATGCTTTCCTATGGACTGGCTGAATGTGCGTGCGGCTCATGCCGTGCATGCGCATTCAGCCGATGACGACGAGAAGGAGGAGGAGAGGAGGAGAGTCCCCCACCCAGGGCTGGAAAAAGAGGTAAATTTAACCCCTTCCACCCCCTAGAGCCCGGCGGGAGGGGAGCCCTGAGGGTGGGGGGGACCTAGAGACCCTATAGAGCCAGGTAAACGAGTATGTTTTCCTGGCACTATAGTGGTCCTTTAACCCCTTAAGGACAGATGACATGTGTGACATGTCATGATTCCCTTTTATTCCAGAAGTATGGTCCTTAAGGGGTTAAAATGACGCTAACGATAAACAATCAATGCCAGTTTGTTTTATTTATGAGAGACACCTGCAAGATTTTGTGGGTCAACAGAACATTTCATAAAAAAAAAAAATCTACAAAAAATATAAAAGATACATAATGGTGAAGTATGTATTCATGAAAATAGCATCACAGCGATTCAAAATATATAATATTTAGCATTATAGTCACAAGGTGAAGTTTTTTATACCTGATATTTGTGGGAAAGAATAATTCTGCAAATGCAGACCTAGGACGGTTGATTATGTATCACACTTACTTCTATTAAATGAAAAAGAACGCACGGAAAAAGAAAAATCCCGAACTCAGACACAAATTATCCATCATCATTGCTATTATGACCCAATTTCAAATAGTTATCGCCCTACCTCACATGGATTAAGGCATCCAAATGAGCTGTGTGGAATTAAGCAGTGCTCACAGTCTCACACAGCTGCTGACAGAGGGGTTTTAGATAAGACTTTCCAGCATGTCAAATTAGGGTGGTGTTTGCCCTTATTTTAGCAGAACATAGCTTCTGCTCCTTTCCGATATTAAGACATGTCCCACATAAATCAGCTATCGCACATGGCTGAGCTACTCTGGTTTGTTTGTGTTTATAATGAGTGTAATTTTCCTGTATTATTCGCTGTAATTACAGCAATTTTAGGAAGAAAAGAACAGACGCCATACTGGGTTCTTGGGCGTTTGCTTCTCAGAGATAAATGTAACATATTAACTGGGGGAGGCAGGGGAGAAAAGTGAATGGTAAAAAGAGAACCTATTCCGGGGGAGACCTGTACGTTATTCGTCCCATCATTCAGCGGATTCCCAAAACGCATGTGATTATCTTTACGAGGTTACATGTTCAAGTGATGCAAGCATTTCCTTATGTCTCAAAGGCCATCTTAAACTGTATATGACATCATTTTATTTGTTTGTTATTTTTGTTTTATATTGTATTATTGTTTGTAGTATAAAATGTGCAATTTAGTATTCTATAATATCTATTTAGTGAATATGTTGATTTAGAAAAAATATATATTTTATAGCTTTGCAACATTAATTTTCTCTTTTAGAGCCAATTCAGTGACATGGAACCCACACAAAATGATGGGGGTACCCCTCCAATGTTCTGCGCTGCTGGTCAGAGAGGAGGTACGGTATATTTTATTTTACTCATTTTGTTTAGTTCTAGTTATGGCTAACTGCATTCTATATGTATCCCTAATAAAAGAAAATCTGTGTTTTCCATCATTGAATAATATCTGTATTCTAGAATGTGCATTCAATCTAGAAGTGTATTAGATGTAGGATAATTAGTGTGTGGTAGCCTTCCCTTACCCCTTAGCCTACTGTATGTATTACATTTCTGCTGGGACTATGATAAGTTTACCAATAGATTTATCTTTTGTTTGATTTTTCTTTCTTAGTCTTTCCATGGTAGCTCCATGGTTGTCGGTAACTTTTGCCAACAAATCCCTGCAAAATGCTACGAAATACTACGAAATTTAATTTCATTTGCTGAATGTTTACATTTCTCCAACAGAAATTAAGAGGACCCTCTAAGTTCTATTTTTTATGAATACCTGTAAAACACTATGGTAGATTCTGGACGGTACCAGTGGATTCCAGTGATTGTAGCACGAAGATGTTAAACAGGATTGTTGACCAATTGTATTTTTTAGCCACAATTCAAATTTTAAAAAATGGCTTGTGTATTTTCAGTGCTTCAAAGATTACGGCTCTAATTTCTTTTGCCTCACATATGGTTGAATGGATTTCAAGAAAGACAGACAGATGGAAACACAATGAATTAAAATTGATGTTACTTTGTTTATTTCATTATTCAGGGATTGATGCAGAACTGTAATCAAATGCATGCATCCTACCTCTTTCAACAAGATAAGCATTATGACCTCTCATATGACACCGGAGATAAAGCTTTGCAGTGTGGACGCCATGTCGACATTTTTAAGTTATGGCTAATGTGGAGAGCAAAGGTAATGTGAAAGCAATTAATATATTGGTGATCCTCATATCGGTACTGGGAAAGACAATAAAAAATGAATCATTTAATTGCAGAGCTTGACATTTTTAACCACTTAAGGAGCACATGATGGTCTATGCTGTCAAACAGTGCAGGGCTTTGAGACGGCAGAGACCATCATGCAATAAGGGTACCAGCAGGGGCTAGATTATGGGTAGCATCATGGGTTGAATTATTGTTAGGATTATAGATTGGATTCTCGGTTTGGATTATGGGAAGAATTAAGAGTGAGATTAAAGGTTGCATTAAGGGGTCGATTACAGGTTGGATTAAGAGTTGGATTAGTGGTTTGATTAAGGGTTGGATTAGGGAACTAATTAGGGTATGATTAGGGGAAAATGTATGTATGTGGATTATCATTGTACTAGAGAACGAAAGCAGAATACAAATATTGGGTGTTTGCAGTAGTTTGACATGTGTGTGCATTTCCCCCAAGTAAAATATGTGTGGAAAAAACATAAAAAACGACTGATTTGACCTAGGTTTGTGATAAAATGGTTAAACGAAAAGGGTCAAAATGCTCTTAGTTACATAGGCTGGGGATGTACTTTCTACAAATATATACTTTTGTGTAACAGTATTGGATTCTGTGACTACTTTTAAAGTTGTTATCTCAGCCAAATTATGCAAAGTTTTTTTCTGTAAAGCCGTAATTCAGCAGTACTTGTTTTATAACTTCTAAAAATTAATTGAAATCTTTGCCATATTGGGCATTTTAACAATATGGACTAATTAGTGAATATAATTTGAATTGGTTTTCTTCATTTGCACTTGTTGTGTAGAAATTATTAAAGGATCACTATAATGTCAGGAAAACAAATCGGTTTTCCTGACACTATAGTACTGTGTGGGTGCCCCCACCCTCAGGGTCCCCCTCCCGTGGCACTGAAGGGGTTAAAACCCCTTCAGTTACTCATCTTATTCCACCGCCGGGCTCCCTTACCTCTCCTCCCCTGCCGATGCCATCTCCCCTGTCCGAGCGCGCATTCTCTGAAACTGCTATGTTTACTGCAGGCAGGGTTAACCCTAGAGGGATCTGGCACCCAGACCACTTAATTGAGCTGAAGTGGTCTGGGTGACTATAGTGTCCGTTTAAATGTGAAACTGAGATTTTATTTTTTAATTTCTCTTTTTTAATACTTTATTCCTATTTAATATTGTGTTATGTATATGTAATGTATACATCTAGGGTATCGAAAGAAATCAGCTAATTAACATCAGAAATTGACAATTGGAAACCATTACAGAAACTGCATGAGCTTTCAGTTTTAAACAGTAAATCACATAATTTAAGGAATTTGTAACACTGGAAAAAGGCTAGAAAATAATAATAATAATAATAATAATAATAATAATAATAATAACAAAGTATTTAACCAAGAAAGGCACATTCAGATTACTCCGGTTTTCAAGTGTGTCCTAGGGATGTTACCTTAGCCCAACATCCAGGGGTTGTTACTATTACCCAATTTAACGCATGACTGTGTCAGAGCTATGCTACAAAATGTGGAAAAGCTACATGCAAATGGGGAAAGAAATAAAATACAGTCAGTAAGGCACTGAGTAAAGCGGGGCGTGCACATACAACAGTGGGCAGGGTAGAAGGGGGCAGGTCTGCACAATGAATACGTTTGTCAGTTTGGCATGCATGCATGCCAAGCTAACTGCCAATCATGCAGACTGGCCACTAAGGGCGGACCATGCAGAAAGTGCTGTTACAGTTCTTTACTTCTACTGGTCCTACTACTTTGAGCATAGAGTAAGTGCCTCTAATGATGCACTTGTGCTACACCTTCAGTTCCTAGGTGTTCCCAAAACCAGGATGGCAGGGAAGAGTCCTGAAATTGGGATAGTTAGGAGGCCTGTATACACTTCATAGACAGGATGTTTTAATGCCATTGAAAAGTGTGCTAAATGGATATGGTACATTGATTAACAGGTAACAAGGTAACAAGTCACATAACCATTAGTGAGATGTTCTTTCAGAAATTGACATTAGTCTGGAAGAATAAGGTCTTCCTAGCTTCTGAGAAGAATTTATTATATATTACAAACCTGGAAGGGATTATTTTGTCCATAATGGAGTCACAGTGAATTTCCGAGAAAAATTATTGCACTTTGAAAGAGAAGGAAATCCTTGTCATAGGAGCTTGTTTTGTAAAGCTTTCCATACACACGATTAGGTTGTGGTAACCTTTATACGTGGTTTACAGAAGACAGATTCCCAGAGGAGTCAGGTATCTATAATACAAAAGGCAAGTAAGGAAAAATACCAGGACTGAAAATGGGAAGCTCTTCATAAGGGTTTCAATGACACGAAGTGGGAGGTATGAATTTTGAGCACGGGTGGGTGGAATTCAAGTGACAAGTTAGAGATATCACTTGTTTCACTGGCAATGATCTAAATTGATGGTCTTGCCCAGATTGGAGCAGGGCTGCCCAAAGAAGGAGTGGGTCTGCCTGGTGTGAATGCAGGTAGCGTTGGCTAACAACCTCCCATGCTGCCCCAATGCAGGCAGTCTATGCAACCTGTGCTGTTGACGCACTCTTTGTATGTCCCTACTGCCCTAAGCACAGTGCAAGCAAGTATTATAATGCACTATGCTTGCTTGGGACAGTTCCCTGTTTACCCACATCTTCAACCAACCAATAAGATGGGATAGAATCCAGAAATTGGGATGGTTCCAGACTGGATTCAGGGCATTTGTGGGCTATGGACCTGAAACAAGAGTCAGAAAAGCCATGGGCAGGTTGAACACCGTGGAATGCAAATTAACAAATTTGAAAGGTTTGGGGAAGCTACAAGATTGCCTGAAGAAAAGTCAACTTATGCACAGCAAAAAGACAGCTGATGAGTTGAAAACCCTTTGCAAAGATGATACTTAAAGGCTTATTAGGCTGCCACTTGGATGCTAAGCTATTGGGAGCAAATTGAATTCTGAATTTAACAGTTTGCAACTAAATAAGATGCCATACATTATATAATGATGGACAAACCTTTGGCAAGAAATGTTTGAGTGGCAACTTCAATCATCTTAATAGAAAAGTTTGTTTGGCAAACTCCAACAGTAGTTGAAGCCTCAGGACACATGTTTGGTTGCATAGAATGTAATATTCTCTTTTTATCAGTGACACACATTTACAAATAACACCATTCTGTTAACAAATATGCTATTCCAGTAAGCGCCCTAACTAAGACATTAGAGGCATCTTTGCTATTTAATAAATTTGTAAAAAAATAAAACTGTTGACTGAATGCAATGTTTTAACATGCGCTGCGGAACATGTTGGCGCTTTATAAATGCCAGTAATAAATAAATAAATAAACATTCCGGGGTTGCTGGTGTCATTAAACCAGGCATTGATAACTGCTATAACTCTGGCTTATACTTGAAAGCCACAGGAAGTCTTGATGTTTCTTGCAATGTAAAACAGGTTTACTATTTCCCGTTGTGCAATATTGTAACAGAAACAGAAATTAATGAAATTATATGTTTTTTGGTTTTTTTTAGGGAACAACAGGATTTGAAGCCCAAATTGATAAATGTCTGGACCTTGCAGAATACCTCTATAATAAAATAAAGAATAGGGAAGGTTATGAAATGGTGTTTGATGGAAAGGTATGTATTGTATTTCTCCATTAGACTTAGAATGTCTTATTGAATCTTTTTTTGTTTTTATTTTTATCCCTGCACCCCAAGATTTTTTTCTTTCCTCTACGTCTAAGAACTTGCTGAGAAAGATCATTTTGGGTTCTGGAGGCTTCACTGGATAAAATATTATGTTTATATATTGGGTTATACCTATCTGTGCTCCATCACCAAAGCCTAATAATTTAACTTGCAGTTAATGTTTGAAGATGTTTTGAGCAATTAAGATGCAACCTTAGGAATGTTTAAAAAAAACTAACAAAAAAAACCAAACATGTTATGCTGCATCAGCAATAGTTTACTGATTATAAATTTATGGACAAGTGTTCAGATCTGGGCTGCATTTAAAAGTCTTAAGAGTACCATACTACCCCAGGACAGGTAATTGTCAAATCTTCACTTATTTTTGGGTGACAATTGCTTTGGGATGTGCATTTTCTGTTCATGAGAAAAACTTGCCATTTCAGTTTAACTAATTTGTTTAGCAACTATCTCACTATACAGGGGACAAAACACAAGCATTAATTCCAGATGTAAATTCATTGAATAATTAACGTTTAACACTTTTACATTTTAAATGATTTACTGTAATGGTTGTGAGTTTTCACTAGAATTTATGTCATTATAATCTTGGAATTTCGAAATTATATTTATGGGACAGGTGTTGAAATAAATTTCTTTGAACAATGTGTTACATCTAAACACTGCTCTGCTAAAATATACAGAACAATATCTGCTGTATATATATATATATATATATATATATATATACACACACACATTTTTTTTTTTTAACTTTTAAATAAGATACATAAAAAGCTGGATTTATTAAAGCACCTATTATTTATACATTTCCATAGCCTCAACATACAAATGTTTGCTTCTGGTATTTACCTCCAAGCATGAGAAATATGGAAGACAATGAAGAAAGAATGAGCCGACTAATTAAGGTAAAAACAAATCGTTACAATAACTGTTGTTTATGTTAATCATTGTATAACTACAAAATTATTCATATTGTTGGCATCAGTCACTGAATGCAGTGATATAAATGACGATTCTGTACAATCAATAGTACTTGTCTTATTGTAACTCTTATTAACGTATCTTAGTGAAAAGACGTTTTGTGGAACGATGGTAGAGTCTATCCATAAAGATTCAAAATTGAATTTGGTTTTAGAGGAAAATAAGGGTAGGAAAAACAAATGAGGTTGATTAAAGACTTGTTTAAAGTTGGCCCACGATCACACCATCCATAAATGGTTGTATAATGAGAAAGTGATTTCTTAATTGAAATTTAGAAAAAGGATTTTGAAAACCTCTCACTGTTTGTTAACTGCCTGTTCATTATTGCTTCTAGTATCGCTTCAATATTGCTAAAAAAAAAAAAAGTCAACTGTCTTGAAGTATGTCCTAGAATTGAGCTACCAGAGAGCAAACAATTGTAAAAAGTTAAATAAATAACGCTCCTTAGAATTTATGCAACGCAAGGGACAGTTATGTGAATGCAATGTGGTTTGAGGAATAAATACTATTTAGGTGGGACCTCATGCATGCTTCTCATCCTCATTTTGTTTATAGTTGAAAAGGGGTTCATAAATCAGTATGGGGATCCCAAGATCCCTCTGTGTGACAGCACACGAAGCTCTATTTTAAGGTCTGGAACACAATAGCAGCGGAACAGTGGTCCCTTACAAAGACAGTGAACCATGGAGGTGGAGAGAGGGTAGTTGTGGGTCCATGATGGCACGGGTGCTTTATTAAAAGTTGTATCCAAGGACAAGGCAGAAAAGCAGCGTTTAAAATTGGTCTGAAGGTCTGGGCAGATGGCAGCATTCAAAGTCAGGAGGAAAGCCAAATACTGATAACCAGGGAGACACATTGACAGATGCAAGGATAACGCTGCAAGTCTGAGGCTAAGCTACAGAAAAACCAAGCAGGAGCAAGGAGTGAAATATTTTATGGCTCTTTTAGTAAATAAAGGACAATTCTATCACATATTTGTAAATTTGATATAATACAATATATTGCTTTTGTAAGCCAAATGTAATGTTCAGTATATTTTGTCATTGTATGTGGATATTATTAAGAAATCTACAAGCATTTTATTAAGAGAATATCTACTCTTTGCAGAGGTTTTAGAATTTTAGATTGATAGAGCTGTGATTGTCAGTAAAGATGATAAACATGTGTGATGCTTTTGTGTAATGTCTCTTTAATTTGGAACTCAACTGCAGAAACAATAAGTTTCACCTCCTTTATTTTATTGAAGTGAACAAGGTAGATTGTATCTTTAAATACACATGCAAGGAAAAAGGCAATGCTTATTTGTCAACAGAGAGTTTAAAGAAAATAAATACTATAATAATTTTATATGACTTGCTTTCCTTGAAAAAAGATTTACTTAACTTAGAAGCACTCTGGCACTGGAAGGGTTAATTCACCCAATGGAGGAAGAGGAAGGAGTCTCTTTTAACAAACTGCAGTTTAGTAGTGAGAGAAGGAAGTCCGTTTGTCCAAGCCGAGGTATGAGAGATGAGAAGGTAGAAATCCGTTTACAAGCCGAGGTCTGGGAGAGGAGAAGGCAGAATTCCGTTTATAAGCCGAGGTCTGAGAGATGAGAAGGTAGAAATCCGTTTACAACCCGAGGTTTGAGAGAGGAGCCGGTAGCATCGAGTAGAGCAGCTGATCTTACTGCCGCACCTGAGTGAATAATCCAGCCCTTTGAATCTGGCGCGGTCTTCCTAAGTATCGTGGAAAGACCGCGTCAGAAAAAAGGGCGGAGCTAAGCGCCGTGAACCCGGAAGTGGGTTCCGGCGGCAGCATGACTGTTAGGTATACCTGACAACATGTTACGTTACCAACATAATCGTTAATCGTCTGCTCATTAACACAGGTATAACATAGGTATCATTAAAATAAAAAGGATGGAAAGTAGCCACTTTTTCAATGTGGGCATAACATTTAAAATATCCCTGGTCTGATAGAGCAATGTGTGCTGCCTACAGCATCTTTACATTGGGAATTGCTGCGTTGAAAGTATGAAGAGGGATGCTTCATGACATCATGACTCTAGGACATGCAGAATTAGCCTTCTAATTAACATACAGTTAGTCACAGTTCCTGCAGCTCATGCGAGCTACAAATTAACACAGGGCCTCTGGATGTAGTAGTATTTATTTCTGCAAAACCATTTAACTTCAAGGCACTGCTGAACTCTCCTCTGTGAATTTAATGATTATAAGTTACACGCAGACGTCAGTCACATTATTCATGCTGTGTACTAGTTTGACTCATGAGCAGACATATTTGCATAACCCACCATTTTTAGTGGGTTGGGGGGTTGGCACGAGGGCTGGATTAACACGACTCAGAGAAAAATTAAGAAATAGTTAATTATAGCCGCATACAGCAAAGCATTATCACAGTTTACTGCTCATCTCTATGACTAAATAAATATAAAATAAAACAAATATGGGATCTTAAAGAACCAGCGTTTATCTTCAGAGTCAAAAAGTGTTCTCACCCCCACCCAATAGTTAAGTCAAAAAAAGAATGCACACCAATAAACCATAAGAAACCTCTATCTACATTTGTTAAATCACTAATAAGTATACAATACTAGTACAACAGTCAGTGACACAATACAGGCTACACATAATAAACAATAATAAATATTTACCGCAATTCACAAGCCTAATCGGGCAGAAACACGAATCAAATAAACAAACCCCCCAACGTTTCGGCTCCTCCTGGTAGCCTTTATCAAGGGTGTCTGTATCAAACACTTATCAAGGAGCCTTTTATATAGCTATACCAACAGCTGATGGCCATCAGTAATAATGTGAAAGTCCGAGACCGGAAGTGACGTCATCACCTCCAACCCCGGTTTCACTCACATAATTCCAGACATAAATGTACAAGACATCTCACAGTATAAAGCTCCTGTCTAAACCCCGTAGATAATCCCAAACGAACTCCTCCATAAATTGTTCATACACAGTAAATGATTGAAAATAAATAAGTGAGTGAAATTGGTACCCACACGCATGCGCGAACGACACTCACCAATCCACCATATTGCTTAATGGCAATCTGCCATTACTCCATAATCTGCCCGCGCAATTGATTAGGAAGAGTGCAGATTTAAATAAGTAGGCGGAACTAACCTCTGCCTCAAAAAGGGTTAAACCATGTCTAGTGAGGGTTTAAAAAACGTTTTATATGTTCCCAGGACTTCAGAAATGACCAACTGGATCTTCACCTTGTGTCTGCATGTGTGCATGTGTGTGTGTGTGTCTGTGTATGTGTGTGTGTCTTTATCTGTGTGTGTCTGTGTATGTGTGTGTATAATGCAATACAGGGAGGAGATCAAGGAAATGGTTTCTTCCTCAATCCAATGTTTTGGGTCCCCTCAATTCCTCTAGGATAACAGACATTCCCTGCTCCACCTAACATTGGGTGAGGCAACGCTGGAAACCTGAGCCCAGTATTATTATTATCCAACCTTACATACAAGGGTAAGAGGAAAAGATTGCCCTCAACTCCATTTGCCAGGCCTCTACCATGTGTTTCTTTTCCTCTACCTCTACTGAAGGTGGTGGAGGAAGAAGAGCAGTTAATAAATATTTTAGATAATCTTGGACAGGAGACCATGTGAACCCAAGATGCACTGGGTGTGGGATGAGAGAGCCACTTAACTATCTCAACATGGCAGAAGAGAGCTGTTCAGGTTCTGAAAGATGTCATTATTGCTGGTCCGCACGCACAGTCTGCCTGAGAGAGACACAGTCATTGTGTCTGTAACAGTTGTTCTTAGGGTTCTTGCATCTGGGCTCTCTGACTCGAGGGTTTCCCCCTGACAAATGAATCATCTTTTTTAATACATTATTAAAATTTTTTGCAAAAAAACAGGAGTAAAATGCACACACTAAAAAAGGAGTGAATACTTCCTGCAGGGTGCTCCAGAAAGGGAGGGTCAATCCCCGAAGACATCAAATGAAAAAAAGAAACATTCAGACATATCTGAGGTTTCTTCCGAAAGGCAGTCTTTATTTAAAACAAAAAAGTGGAGACAACGTTTTGGCTCTTCTTTGAGCCTTTATCAAGTCTTGACTTGATCTTGACTTGATAAAGGCTCAGAGAGGAGTCGAAACGTTGTCTCCACTTCCTTGTTTCAAATAAAGACTGATTTTTAGAAGAAACCTCAGATGTGCCTGGATATTTCTTTTTTTACATTTAATGTTATTGAAAATGTCAGCAGTCAGGTTTACCTTTAAAAGCCATCGGTTAAGTGTGCCAGCACTTTAATACACGACTGTAGTGTTTCTTTAAACGATTTCACTGATGATGCTTATTCATTGTTAATAATAACGGTATATACATTTGCAGGTTGCACCCGTGATCAAAGCTAGGATGATGGAATACGGAACAACAATGGTGAGCTACCAGCCACAGGGTGATAAAGTAAACTTCTTCCGTATGGTCATCTCAAATCCAGCAGCAACCCATCAAGACATTGATTTTCTGATTGATGAAATTGAACGTCTCGGGCAAGATTTATAAAGTAACGATTCCAAGTCTTTAGATACAGATCAGATTTGTTCAAACTGTGTGAATGTATTTGTAGTGTGTTCCAAAGTAATTCTATATTGTGATGTAAAACTTGAGTATAGTTTTATTTGAGAAACACCACTCCTTTACCATCTTTTCTTTGTACGTTTCTGTTTTACTGGTTGTATTTGCAATACTATATTCAAACATCGAGGGACTATGCCCTCATATGTAACATATTTCATGTGTTTAGCAACAAGAATGCTACATTATACGAATGTGCCAAATGTTTCAGGAAACTTCAAAGTACACTTCATGAAACAATGGGAAAAAGAAGAGAAATTCTTCTTTAAAAAAGTGAAAACGCATTGCCTTTTAGATCATTAAAATGATATTTCTATTTGAAATTTGATATATTTAAAAACCTATAATTTTACTAAAGAATATATATACTACAAATATCCTATTTTGTAAAGTATAGATTTTATTTTATACATATAATAGGTATTTCTAATAGGTATCAATGATTACCAAGAGCTATTTAACCTTTAAAAGATACTTGAAATATATCTCGACCTGTACGATACTGCACTGAATCTTGTATGATCCCCTAAAGGGATTAAAACATTCATAAATATGCACTTTCTATATAATTTCCCCATGACATCATTAAATGCACAGTAAAGATGCATTGATCTCCAATAAATGAGCTTTGGTTTCAATGGGTTTTGTTTTTCATTTTCTAAGGTGCCACTAGACTCTGGTAAATTTGATTTGATTTTTTTTTTTAAGCCTGTCCAGTTATTAGACTCTTAGGTCAGAACAAAGACCAGTAACAGATAGACTAGGACAATTTGTGATTTTAGTTTTATAGTTACTTCTATCACGTGATCATGGTCAATAAGACAATATTCAGCATGTAATAGAAGACAAACAACCTCCCCCCCCCTTCATTGTAAGACAAAAGTTATAATATCATAAATCCAAAAAAATCTATAACTGCTTCAGCCTCCTCAAGCAATATTTAAATTATTACTATTGAAAAGTATATAAAGTTATATATTTTATTTATAATACACATGGTTAATGGTAGTTAATATGTGTATTTATGCGTTGGTTTAAAATGTTTTTATTACCTCTTGATTTTTGGATCATTTAAGAATGGTTGAAAAAAGATAGCCATACTTGTGTACATACTATGTGTACAGTGGCATACCTTGCTGGTTTAACATGAATATTTGCATTTTGTTTTACATGCCAAAATCACCTTCACAATGTAGGTCAATATTTATTTATCCCCAATATATTTTTGTTCCTGTCTTGTTTTAATAATATACACATATAATCAATGTACTATTATTTGTACATTTTTATTCTATGTCTCTCTATTAATAAGATTGTTTCACGCAGAATTATAATTATGTGTAAGAGTCACAGATTGTCTTTTACCATCATTCTATGGTACCCTTAAAAAAAAAGATACTCTTATTGTCCCACAATCCCCACCTAACTGAGAAATACTGCATTTTTAACAACTGTTCGGTCAAAGCTAGCTACTCTTTTTTTACATTAATGTAATATGCACATAAAAATCAAGATTAACATACATATACTTATTACCTATTCACTTCGAAGCACTTATTTTTCTGTCTTGATGAGTGGTTTATGCTAATCTAAACTGAGTCAAGAATGGGCATTATGTATCATTATTATTTGTATATATTCATTTGTAATTAGTCCACCGTTTCCATAATGCACAAAGCATGGCCAGGCACCTGAAAAGCTCCTAATTTCAACTGATTGCCGTTCATTTTGTTCTTTAATCACGTCCTTTGTAAAACTGCACATACAAAATGAGACGTGCTTTTTACATATTACCCTGAAATCCTCCAAGTAAGCTGGTGTGTGGTACAAAGTGATAAGTAAATAAATTTAAAAAAGGGAAAAAAATTTTTTTTAAAATGTACAGGAAATTGTATAACCTTAATTCATATGATTTACTAGTATTCCCAGTACTATGCAGTGCATTAGAAAACACAAAAAATTCTACAAAATATAAAGGAACAATTTGTCATCAGGCTCTTTAGAGAAGATTAGTAACAACAAAAGAGGTAGCTGCATATTTGGATTAAAGCAACCAGGTTAATTATCAATAAAACACATCAATAAAATGATTTTTTAAATTTTTTATTTTTAAAGCCATATCTCCAAATACACTCTCTCTCTGTAAATGAAATTTAAAATATCATTCTCACCGTTGAAGCATAATAACTGCATGCTTAAGCTCTTGGCAAGTGATCCCCGAAAGCTTGTCTTGTAGATATATAGTAATCATTTTAAGTTACTGAGCAACATTTTATCTTAAAGTTCTAAAAAGAATGCAGAGTTATTATTTTGTTTACAACATCCATGGTGTCGATCTCAAGTCACATAAATGTGAATTACAAAAAAGAAACAAGTGTCTATGTATGTGTTGCTTTTATTAAATTTAATATTGCTGTCTTGTCACCTCAGATTGAGGTTGTGTACAGTGTTGCTGTATAAGCTTGTACAATATATTATTGATATAATTTGGTTTAGTGCAACTGTAATTTATTCATTGTTGTTACTGTAAGAAAAAAATATGTTATTTTTAGATCTTATACCAGTGTTCTTCCTTAAAATGCTTCTTTTTGCAGAACAACATATCAGCAAGATTAGAATAAATAATCTTTATTTTACCTTATTATTTTAAGGCCTTTGACTGCAGATTTTAAGAATATTCCTGTTTTATTAAACCAAATTCATTACTAACCTTCTTGTGAGGTGAACTATAAATGAATATTATATGAGACAATAGTTCAAATGGTAATTTTAATAACAGACTAAAATAAATTGTTCACAATAATCATTTTACGTGTCTGAAAGTGTAGTTACGGGTCAGTGTTTAATAAGAATTTACTGTTAATTAAAGAAGATTATTTTCATTCTGTCTAGAGAGAACAACTGCTTCTTTGTACCAAATATTCACTTGTGTTTTATTATTAGAGTATTGTATTTTATCAATGTTGTCAATTTGAGATGTAATAAAGCTGTAAAAAAGTAAAAAATGTTTAATGATTTTGTTGGGGTGGGGAGAGAAAGACGATCCTCAATAATATTGTTAAACGGACATTATAATCACCCAGACCACTTCAGCTCAATGAAGTGGTCTGGGTTCCAGGTCCCTCAGGTTTTAACCCTTCAGATGTAAACATCGCAGTTTCATAGAAACTGCGATGTTTACATTGCAGGGTTAATCCAACCTCTAGTTGTCTTCCTGCGAAATACGCATCCAACGTGCAGAACGCCCATAGGAAAGCATTGTGAAATGCTTTCCTATGGCGTGTTTGAATGTGCGTGCAGCTCATGCCACACATGCGCATTCCACTCTTCTCGGGAGCTGACGTCGGCGGGGGAGGAGAGGTCACCAGTACCAAGGGAGCCCAGCGCTGGATTAAGGTAAGCTGCTGACCGATTCAGCCCAGTTTGAGGGGGGGGGACATAAGGATTATATTGTGTCAGGAAAACAAGTTTGTTTTCCTGACACTATTGTGATCTTTTAAAATGTAACATTGTGCACTAATAAAAATTCAAACATGCAAAATTAAACCCTGTCCTCAAACGCCCAATATTCATGGGCAGCAGCAATAACTATAGTACACATGTATTGAGCCTGATGTGTACTATAGTCATTGCTGACACCCAGGAGCAGTGGGAGTTTGAGCACAATGCTTAGTTTTGTATGTCTGTATTTGTTTTGTTTTACGCACACATGTTATTGTGCTGCCGCCCTAGCGTTCTCTATAAAGGGTTAATAAGTGTGTAAGGGTTTAGAAAAATACCCCTCTCTGTGTCACTACAGATTTTGCCAGTCATCTTAAGGAAGCAAGTTGATTTGTTAGTGTAGGACTCACCTAAAAGGTTTTGCCTTTGGCAGGGGAGCTTGCACTTTAATGGCTATTGGAATGATACTGAAAAAACTCCTGTTATTTAAATGTGCATAGGGATTTGAGATAGTGCACAAGTATTTTATTTTTTTTTGCATTGTATGAATACAAATTTACCTGAAGAACTGCATCAAAGGTTAGTGCTTACCACTGATTCTAGCTTTAAAGTCTGACTTTATAAGACTGTCATTTGTTTTTTTTAACCCCTTAAGAACACATGATGGAAATATTCCGTCGTGATTCCCTTTTATTCCAGAAGTTGTGTCCTTAAGGGGTTAAACTAGTATTATACTCTGAGCGGCCACAACATTAAAACCACTGACAGGTGAAGTGACATTAATTATACCATTTCAATGGCACCTGTCAAGGGGTGGGATATATTAGGCAGCAAGCAAACAGTCAGTTTTTGGATTTCATTTGTTGAAAGCAGGGGAAATGGGCAAGTGAAAAGATCTGAGTGACTTTGACAAGGGTCAAATAGTGATGGCTAGAAAAATGGGTCAGAGCATCTCCAAACAGGTAATGCTCCCAGTAAGCAGTGGTCAGTACCTACCAAAAGTGGTGCAAGGAAGGACAACTGGCGAACTGGCCATGGCCAAGGATCATTGATACATGTGGGGAGTAAAGGGGAGTAAAGGCTAGCCCAACTAGATGGATCTCACATAAGAGCTTATGTAGCTCAAATTGCTGAAAAACCCAATGCTGGTCATGATAGAAAGTTGTCAGAACACACAGTCCATTTTATTTTGCTGCTGATGGAGCTGTGTAGCCGCAGACTGGTCAAAGTGCCCATGATGACCCCTGTCCATCAGCTAAAGTGCCTGCAATAGAGACATGGGCATTGGAACTGGACCATGGAGCAATAGAAGACGTTTCCCTGGTCTAATGAATCACACTTTTAGATCAGGTGGCTTGTTGGGTGCATGTGCATTTACCTGGAGAAGAGATGGCAGCAGGATGCATTATGGGAACGCAGGCTGTCAGAGGCAATGTTCTGCTGGGAAAACTTGGGTCCTGGCATGCATGTGGATGTTACTTCATGGCAATGGAGTTTTGGCCTCTTTCAGCAGGATAATGCACCCTGCCACCCTGCGAAAATTGTTCAGGAATGGTTTGAGGAACATGATAAAGATTTTTTAAGATGTTGCCTTGGCCTCTAAATTCCCCAGATCTCAATCCAATTGAGCACCTGAGGGATATGCTGGGACAATAAATCTGAACCGCCTCGCAACTTGCAGGACTTACTAATGTGAGGATCTAAAGATAATGACTTGGTGCCAGATACCACAGGAGACATTCAGAGTTCTTGTGGGGTCTATGCCTCAATGCATGAAAGCTGTTTTGGTAGCACGAGGGGGACCGCTATGATACGTGGCAGTTGGTTTTAATATTGTGGATGATCAGAGTTTATCTGTCTCAGATAATTAAGCATAAATATTTGGTTACTTATAATCAGTGCACATACAAATGCTGGGACATAATACACTTAGTATATGATATCAGTAATCAACTATATTAGTCATATATCTTTAACCCCTTAAGGACACCTGACATGTGGGACATGTCATGATTCCCTTTTATTCCTGAAGTTTGGTCCTTAAGGGGTTAAACTACTTTTAGGATGTGGGAATGATTTTCCTCTAGTAATTATTTTTCTCAGTACTTCTTCCTTCATCACCCATTCTTACCTGATGAATCTATAACCCTCCTTTTACACCTTTCTGTAGTCACATATTTCAATTTAGGAGAAGTGTTACTTTGTCTACTGCTTCAACTACCCCGATATGAAAAAGGCACAGAGAAGTCTTATAATGAGAAGCTTCTTAAAGAGACAGGGACACAACTGGTGATGCTGGCAGAGTGGGTTATACTGTGTGGGTTATAACTGTGGGTTATACAGAAATTGGCAAACTGAAATTGGCACACTCTCAGGACTTTGTAATCCAGTAAATATGCTTTTAATTTCAAACAGTTAAGTTTACATTCTTGATCATCATTTCGGCCCCACCTGATACTTTCTCAAGATCTTGAGTTGATTGGGTTTCTACTATGTATATTGGCTTGTAGTAAATGAATACATTTCTACAAACATAATATAATTCAAATTGATGGATATTGAGATTTTGCTACAATTCTGGACTGACTTAAACTCACAAGATAGAGATGTAAGTGAATTCATGTACAGTCATGGGAAAAAGAAAGTACATTCTCTATGAATTCTATGATTTTACATATCTGAAAATAATAACGATCATCTGTTGCTTAGCGGGTCCTAAACTTAGGTAAATGCAACCTCAGGTAAAACAACAACACATGACATATTACAGCATGTCATGATTTATTTAGCAAAAATAAAGCCAAAATGGAGAAGCTATTAGGATATTAGTGACATCAAGAGGCAATTATCTGTAAGGTAAATTATATGTCAATTAACTTTTGTAGGAAGCTACCAAGGCAGATCCATGTTTTTCTAAATATATTTACAAGTAAGTGTAGGATATACTTTAATGCCATAGAGGTTTTAGATTTTGGCATAAAAGAAGGGAATTTATTTTTCCTTTTTAATGATGACAACATGATTACATGGTTACATAAAAAGTATCAAAATGGCCCCACATAAATGTGCCTAGTTTTTTAAATAGACGCTTTTGGGTATTGACTTACTTAATATTTACCACAACTTAACTGTCTGTCCCAACATACCACATTTTGAAAAATGTACCTTTACAACTGCAAACTAATCCTATTTGACCTAAAACACGCGGTGAGCCAAATGTCAGTGACACCCAAATTCTTGTTTGGCACAGAAAGTGGGACTTATTGACAGCCTGAGCAGAGGAAAGGGGATCTTACAGAGCCCACAATTCCCTCCTTAGCAACACCCAAAGCCTCTATTTATTTTGCTGGTATAGACACTCACACAGCCTCCAGAAGCATATGTAATGATGTGTGCGACTGTCAGCTTCAGATTTTTCAGGGAGCCTAAATGTCTTGGCAGCTACTTGTCCATGTGGCCATCCATGAATGAAAGCAGCGCTTCAAAGACTTTGTACATTTATATTAAAGCTGTGTCAGTAAGATAAGATAAAACTAAGGTGCTTTGACCCACTTTAGCTCTCCTCTGCTTATAATTGTTTTTGTTTTTTTTAATCATTCAAGGTTTATTAGCTTCGTTGGTGTGTACATCAGAAAGGCATATATGTGCGTCAAAGATAATGTAGCAAGATAACATCGTAGTATAACATCGTACTTAACAGGCATAGTGGTGAAAGGCAGGTAAATAATAGGTAGCTCTATGGTAACATGGTAGGTTGGCTGGTCGATGGTAGCACAAAGCAAAACATTCTCCTATTTAAACCTGTCAATATAACTCCGAACCTTGCAATGTCTGTCAAACACCAACCGCCTAAATCGGCCTCAGCAAGCACAGCCTCTAGGTTTAGTGATACAATATTAAAATGAAAACAATATTAAATTTAAAGTTAACAATTAAATGAAAAGATAAATGTCCAGACTCTCCGTGGAGTCAGGAATAGGGTGGAGTAAGAAAGTAATCTACATTGGATATAAACTTTACTGTACTGCGTAATCAAGCTATGTCTATCGAAGCCTGTGATTATGCTGTCGGCACAGTGAAACTTATATGTGTTAGAAAAAAAAAAAAACCTGTAGGTATAGCGCTTTGTCCCCTGAGGGCTGCGCCTGGACAATTAGAGTGATGCTATTGGTCTGTAGCGTATGGTGTAAATATGCTTGCTACATGCAATATAGGTGAAAGTATGTACACGTTATGAAGCTGTAGCTCAGGGGAGCTCTGTAGCTTACGTTGCGCGTTCGTTTTAAAACTGTAAGCTTAATGAATGCGTTTTGTGCTAAATAATAAAATAAAATGGGTTAAGCGTGTTTGCTAGGCGATATTGGCTTATAATAATAGGATAGTATAATTGGGCATAAATACGGAAAGCCTATTTCTGCATGAAGAGCCTATCTAGCATATCAGGCCTACCCAGCCTAGGCCGACGTCCCAAAAAGTCTTTTTTGATTTTCTTTTTAACCTAAGCCAATATGAACAGCATTTTAATATTAAAGCATTATGTAGGCTATAATAGTCATTGATGGCCAGGGTGTCCTGTGTTTATTTGGGCCGTACGGTCCTTCGCTGCCTGTATACTGGTTCAAAGCATAATTAAGCATAGTTGGCTAAACAGTAGTAATATAAGACTGTGCAAAGCATGGTGTAGGTCACGTCCGGTTCTAGAACAAAATTGTTCCCGCCTTCTAAGAAGGAAAGACGTAGAAAGGGGGAAAAGGGCCTGTGTGAAGTCCCCATTTAAACACCCGTGGGAGTGTGTCCCAGCGGTCAAAAAGGGCCTTGTGCCGTGCACGCGCGGCCGGGCATAGTAAGACACCCTGAGATAAAATAATAAAAGGAGGAAAGTAAACGAATTTAACATGGCAAGTACATTAGGTTTTATGCCGGGGTATAAACACTTAAGTACTCGGCATACAATGCAGTAGCAATCTTAGGTAGGTGTTGCCTAGTGTTGAGCGTTTAAAACTAACATAATAATAGAAAGTGTCCACAGCGTATTTAACGTATGGTAAGTCCACATCAAGAGTCAATCTTCGATCAAAAAGTTATATGAGACTGTGAGACCTAAGGGTTGCTTGACATGTCCGTGGGCTCACCGTGGTATACAATCACCCAGGGTACCAGGCCTCCAAACGTCATCCCCAGGTCCCCACAGCTTCCCCCTCGGGCATCCCAGCACAGTGGGCACTCGGAGGCAGAGTGAGTCCATGCATCCCCCCCCCAAGAGTCTGCCGACCCAGCGCCTCCTGCACCTCCCCTGAACCGTTGGCGCATTGCAGGGTCATCAGATGTCTGTGAACGTCTCGCCCACTGCCGGCCACTCAGACACGGGGGAGGGCATGCCGCCCCTCACCACCAGTCCGCCAGAGGCAAGCGGACCCCCACCCCGCAGGGCTCACAGCCGTGGGGACATTTCTCTCCGGGCGCCCGCCAGACCAAGTGATAGGACATCCGTGGCTTGTGGGTGGTCTGGGACATCTGTCTGCGTCCTTCGACACCAGGCTTGTACTCATGCTCTGTGGTGCCCCAAAGGACGGTGGTATATGTCCCTTCAGTCTCGTTTGCTGTCGGGGCCCCTTTTTGGCAGCCATTGCCAGTCCAGGAGGGCAGCCTGGGCCCAGCACGGAAACTTTCGTCTTGGCGCGTGTCGCCTCCATGTGGACGGGATCTCCCCCACCGGCCGGGGGGGGGAGCGGGGACGGACCCCGAGCCAGGGGCTCCTGCCATCAGGGTAAGTGTCTGCTGCTTTTCGTCCATTTCCCAGCATAGTCAGCATGTGTTCTAACCGACCAGCAGTCACCTGAGTCTGGTCTTGCTGCTGTGGGTAGGCCGTGGATTCATTTTCGGTGCTCTCAGCCGGTTTTCGGGTCACCAACTGGTATCCTCTTGGAGCTGGGGTTGTCCTCCATATTATTGCAACGGGTACTCTGGTCTTGGGGCCCCCGGTGGCCATTTCAAGTGCCTTTTTGGTTGTTTTAAGCCTGGAGCCATATCAATCTGCTTCCATGTGGCTCAGCGGCCCGGCCCCGCCCCCGTGTGAAGTATTTTTATATTTAACTATACTATTTGTAGAAAGTATTGGCAAAACTGTTAAAAAAAGATTTTATTGTTTTACTTTTTTATATATTTTATTCTTGCTTAAAGGGACACTGTAGTCATCAGACATACTACAGCTTATTGTATTTGTTCTGGTGAGTAGAATCATTCCCTTCAGGCTTTTTGCAGTAAACATGCAGTGTTTACATTACAGGCTAGGGATACCTCCACTGCCCACTCCTCAGACGGCTATTAGAGGTGCTTCCTGGGGCAGTGCTGCAGTATGACTGACATTCAGTGCCTTCACCCTCTGCAAGAAGACATTGAACTTTCCTCATAGAGATACATTGATTTAATCAATTTCTGTGAGGAGATGCTGATTGGCCAGGGCTGTGTTTGGCATGTGCTGGCTCTGCCCCGATCTGTCTCTTTGACAAGCTCAGCCAATCCAATGCTTTCCTATGTGAAACCATTGTGAATAGCTCAGATCACCACCTCTGATGATGTCAGCCAAACAAGCAGATCAGGGGCAGATCCAGCAGCAGCAGACTGAAATAAAGGTAATATTTTGCTATATTAAGGGGGGTAAGGAGGGCTGGGGGGCTAGATGGTGATTTGAACACTATAGGGTCAGGAATACATGTTTGTGTCCCTGACCCTATAGTGTTCCTTTAATGTTATATAGCATATACATATATCAGAAAAAAAGCGACATCTGTCATTTAAAGCAAATATATAAAATGCAAAGGTGCACTTAAGGACACAGAATGAAAGAGTGGTAAAATAAATACACGAATAGTGACAAAATTGCCCTGGCCTAGTCACTAATGCAGAAAAATGAAAAAAATCTCAGTCACTAAAGGGTTACATTGAGTCATATGCATCTAATTGAGCAATGAAGGGAAATGCATCCTTTCTGAAATAGTTGACTCACAATTTCGCAAATATGTTTTCTATTTAAAATCAAGTGCTGCATTTTTGTAGACCAGAAACCGCTTTCATTTGGTCCTTTATCTTAACCATGATTGTTCCCAATTTTATTTGAGTACCCACTATGCAGAGAATTGTTTCTATGACCTTAGCTGCTCATTGATTGCATGATACAGTCCCTCCTTTCCCCTCTACATAACATGTGCAGTAATTTAATCCTTTTTGAAAAGTGTTCAACTTTACTCTGAATTATAGAGCACTAAAATCTGAGTCAAACAAATATGCTGCAATAGCCTAATTTTTGCAATGTCCAATTTAAAGCAATTCACAGTTTAGTGAATAACCATTTTAGGGTATAATGTCAATGCAAGAATGTGACATTCAAATGGTTAATGTGTGGCCAGAGGGGGATAATTGCAGGCTTTAATGGAAAACAGGAAAAGATGTAACCATGCATGAACTGGACAACTCTATGTCTGCATCTTTCTAATGTCCGGACTTTTATTATTTGGACTTTATATTGTCATATAGGGTCCCCTACAAAATCCACTTAGACCCAGAGCAAAAAAAATGTATAATGAAGGCTTTATAACAGGAGTTATTAACAGTGGGTCAGACCCAAAGTTGGTTCATTGTGCTATTTACAAACCGCAATTCGTCAGAGTTTAAGCCGATTGGATAATGGTACGAATTCCAGAGGTACTTCAAAATGTGACAAAGCTTCTGGTCACCTGGGGGTTCTGAGTCTTTCTACATTGTAACAATCAGGTTAATCTTGCAATGTGCCTCAAATTAATAATTAGTGATTTAGCAATTCCAGGTTGAAGTCAGAGATTATTTTCAGATTTTGCAACGAAGTTGGGGGTTCACTTTCTGATCTTAGTAAATAATATCAGGGAGTTTAGGCATGCATGGGATAGGTAAAGGATATTCTAGAATCTAGATATAAGATAAGCCAGGAACTAATGAAAGTATTTAGAAAATTGGGCAGACTAGACTAATCTTATCTGGTTTCTTTCTATGTTTCTATCATACTACTTGCCTTTATTAGGACATTTAACATACAAGGCACTTATTTTCAATACAGTTTTCACACTTTCGGACAAAAAAATCTAAGTTGAGGATTTTTTACAACATGACTGTTTTGAGCTAAGCTTTTAAACTCTTTTGTTATCTCATTGTTTAATTCCTTGATGCTATTACCAATAACAAATTATTACTGCTTATTATAATAATGTATTAATTAAAGACTTACTCTAATTTGTTCACCTTGTAAATCTTTGAAACATTTTCTTTAGCCAGTAGAGGGCAATAACATTAAAACAACAAAATCCAATTCTGTTTCTGTAGATGTATTGTAATATTCAGAGCAAGATGCCACAGAGAAAAGTGTTTGAATAACATAGTAAAAAGAGGAATGAAAAAGTAATCAAAAGAGCTCTCAAAGATGTCAATTTTTCAGAATTAGGATTCTTTAAGAATTCTGAATTACTTTTGCAAGACTTTCAGTTTACATACTTGCTGGTAAAATGCATATGATTGCATTTAATAACATGGAAATTACATTTGCCACTGATACTGTTTGTGTCTTGGTATTTGACACTTTGAGACTTGAATGTTAACCTTGGGAGAGGTGCAATAGAATGAGCTTATTAGTTCACATTGACTGGTTAGGCACAAACAAGTACATTTAGTACACACATGCAGGGCTCTGTCCCACTTTCGACAGGAAAATCTGTCCTGAGGTTGACATCAGAGTTGTCCCCTGATGTCAGGGGGCCCCAGGGGACTATTCCCAGACCGCACAGGGTGAGCACATCATTAGATATACTTCCGCTGTGGTGTGGCGGGCACTATGACCACGCAAAGAGGTCTTCAGCAGCGCTCTCTTCATGTTCGTTTATGCTTGGGTCCAGCTGGGAGGCTGTTGTTCGGCCTGGCATTCTTGATGCCTCGCTGGGACACCCCTTTTTTGGTGATACTCCTCCATTATGAGCATTGCCAATTACACAAGTTGCATCACTGGCAAAATCCCCTGAAGGCCCACCCACCTGTGCTGATTCCAAACCTTGGTTGGTATGGACTTACAAAACCACACATACTAACATAAGCTTTATTTATATTTTGACGGAGGGAAGGAGGGTGTGATATGGGAGACAAGAAGGATGAAATGAGGGATGACAGAGGAGAGAAGAAAAAAGAAGCGTGAGAATAGCGATATTACATTTGGTAGCATAAAGAGAGGAGAGATACACTGGGGAGAATGAAGATATTTTGTTGAGGACTATCTGATCTGAGCTCTGCTGGAATATACAAATAAACAGTCCCATGAAAGGAAATCCTTGTCGCTGTCTGCTGTCTTGGGAGGAACCACTCCATCCACAGCATAAAACGTAGTTTCTATTACTGCAGGAAGAAAGAAAACATAAAGATGAGCAGGGAAGCAGACTAAGCCAGCACAAGAGGAGGAGAGCTAAGCTGACCTATAAAGTACAGTGTATCCGTTTGCAGTCCCTCTGGATTTTATTTGTTGCCTGACTATATAATGAAACTGAATGAGCTATGCCCTCATTAGTCACTATGCGTCCAGCAGTTGGGAATTTGTGAGAATATTCAAGATGACCCTAATCCTAGTTCCATTGGACCTACCGGCATTTGAATATTTTCTCCTGCTGTATCCTGTTGTCTGCCCTGTTCTATATTAATTGATGAGCCATATTGACTCATTAATTATATCCAGCTTGGTGTTTCCTATTTATGAGTAATCTATACCTAATTATTAACACGTAACAGGTGTGTTCATTTACATGTAATATCTAGGTAATTGTGAAATGCACTGTGGGCCTCCCTAGTCAAAGAGCGATAATTGTTCAGCTATGTGACATATGCATATTTACTTATATAAAGGCAGATCTCTGACATTAGGCTACATACCTAACTAGAGGTCTTGAAAGGCGTAACATGCATCTATATACAGTAAAAGTAAAATTGAAAAAATTATGAAAACAACATTCTAAGGAAGGGGTAGAAATAAATATATGTATATAACAATTCACAATACTGTTAAACCCAACAAAAGTGTCAATGGACAAAATTATACTTAATTCATTTCTTGATTTGCTTGTAAAATATATAAACATACAGATATAAAATAGCGTAGACTGTTTTTTAAATGAAGAACGTAGTAAGTGAAGATTAAACTGAAATCACGCATTACGGATTCTCATTGGGATTATTTATCTATGTTGCCATGCCTTTGATATGTGACAAAAGTTGTATTTTTGCTTCTCGTTCTGCTTCCACCTTTCTTCTCCTAAGCCCTCTTTGGCGTAAGTTTGAGATTTTAACACCCGATCTCAGTAAAAACTAGCATTTATTAAGAGTTATCGTAGATAGATGGCAATGGTCATTAGAGAATCTGAACAACTCATCCAGCATTTAATTATAAAAATAGAGAATCTGATCCATTTGATTAAGGAACACTATTGGCACTCAGACCACTTCAGCTCATTAAAGTGGTCTGGATGCAGTGTCCCATCACTCTTACCTGCTAGGGTTAACTCCTCTAGTGGCTGTCTACCAGACAGCCACTAAATGGACTTCCAGGTGGTTAGGTGACTTTTGGTCGATTAAATGACGCTCAACGTCCTCACGCTATGCATAAGGACTTCTAGCATCACCGGAATCCCATAGGAAAGCATTCCTATGGGAAAATCCTAATGCAAGTGCGCCCATTGCAGTGCATGCGCATTAGGTCTCCCATGCTGGCTGACGTCAGCAGGGGAGGCGTGAAGGCGGACCTGAGCCAGCGCTGAGGAACATCGACCCCTGACCCAGGTAAATGACAAAAGAGGTTTTTCACCCCTTCTGCACCACAAGGGGGGTGGAGGGGCCTTGACAGAGAAGCAAGCTATAGTGCCAGGAAAACTAGTTTGTATTCCTGGCACTATAGTTTCCCTTTAGTGAATGTTGCTGCATACGTGCATA